AGGAGGGTTGAAAATAAGATTTTACAAAAAAAGTATTTCGAGTAGGAAAATGTTTGGGTTTAAAAATTTCCTCCTTTAAATTCAAATCTTAGATATTTGATACTGATTAAGAAAAACTCTATTTTTCAATAAAAGACTGGAAAACTAATATAAAATTATCAGAATTATTCTTTTAAAATAACCAGAAGTAGTTGGTGCATTATCTACTCCATCATCCCCAATTGTTTCTTCCATTTCCATAATTGTTGTAGTATTTTCTTTTTGCTGACTTGAAAGACTCTTCTTTGCATTCTTTTCATCCCCTCCTCCTCCACTTCGAGTAGGCTGAATCCAACGAAGTTTTCCCAACGCTGCAGAGGAACTTAAACGTCGAGATTCTCTTGTACCAGTTCCAGAACTTCCCGAATCCGAATGAATTTCTCCGCCAATTGTTGGAGTGTGTGAACGGGGAATTTCTGTTAATTTTAAATATTTTCCTCCCCTCTATCCAAAAAAATAATTATTTTTTTTACCTAAACTTCGATTAGAAAAATCTTCTCTCAATAAAATTAATTCTTTTCGAAGTATTTGTAATTGATAAAAAATATTAAGAGAAGAATAAAATAATTTATTAGATTACGAGATTTTTCCGGAAACCATTTCCGGAATTATTTTTCCGGATTGGTAAGTTATTGGCAAGTTTTAAAGATTTTGCCCTTATTAGCAAGATATGGGGTTTCAGTATTATTGGCAAGATATGGGTTTTGATCCGTATTGGCAAGATATGGATTTGGCAAGATATGGAATTTTGCCCTTATTGGCAAGATATGGGTTTTGATCCGTATTGGCAAGATATGGATTTGGCAAGATATGGAATTTTGCCCTTATTGGCAAGATATGGGTTTTTAGCCTTATTGGCAAGTTATGAAATTGGCAAAATATGCGGGCACGCTTCAGCTCCTCTCTGTTATGTGATATTGACCACAACTTTTCTTTCTCTGTTTTGTTAATGGTCAGACTGATTTTTTGTTTCTTTTTATTTATTTTTTAATTGCGTGCAAATTTTTTTCTTTCTCTAACCTCACTGTCCCATATCACCTCAACAATCACCTCATTTGCAACCTATCGAAGATTTAATTTTTAATTAATAACCATATATAAAATGATTAAAATTCCTATGTCCCCCATCAGCGGTTGCATGTGGAGGGATACGGGATTAGTCCAAAAACGCAATGGCATGGTGCTGGTATGGTGCTATTTCAGTTAGGTTTGTTACATAATTGCCTGTCCACCCGGTCGGAGGTTGGAACACTTATGTGGGCTTTGGACCCACTTAAGGTTCCCAATGGAGGAAGTGTGGCGAAAAAATACACTTGAGGAGGTGGTCGGTTAAACGATTAACGGTTCACCCTTGGCTGGGTGACCGGATGTTAGTCGTTCGCCGCGCGTTTGTTGAAACTAGCCAATATCCCTGCGAAGCTTGCTTCTGCTGCAATTTTTTTTAAAAACGAAAAATGTTAATGCGAAGCAACGAGTATACCAAACGATGTAACAAACCTAACTGAAATTTTGCAAATTAAATATTTACAAAATCCCGACCTTGACTACGAAATATAACGATTAAGGCAAACAAGCCTTAAACATAACCATCAGTCAAAAGCCTCCCACTCGTGCATCGCCTGCATGCTTGTATTTACTCTGCTATATATATACGATAAGATATTCCTTTGAGTTTATTGTCGGAGAATAGACCGAGGTGAGAGTATAAGTAAAAGCTAAAAACTATTTCTTTATTATTTTCAGCCTTTTCGCTCGTATTCACCACAATTTGTCCCGAAATCTCGACCTTGACTTGACTACTCCTCCTTTCCTTTTTATTCTGTATTCGATAAATATTAAAATTTAGATCTAGGATTTTAAGTCACATATATACAGTACATACTATATACGAAATGAGTTAGATTGAGGATAATTCACATTTAATTAATGTAATGTCGGTGATAAAAATGATAAAAGAAAAAATCCTAAGATCACAAACGAATATATACAAAATGAGAGTTAATTTATGTGAAAAAAATAAATTAAAGAAAAATCTCACTGTATTCTAATAATTTTAGTTCGTTTTACATATTATATTCTTAATCCATTAAATTTATGAAAATCAATTGATTTAAACTAGAGCCCGGACCGAGACGAAATCTCGAACAAAAATCCCGGTTATGAATTGATATTTTTCGAGATATTGATCTCTCGGGACATAATTTAAACTAACAATCTAAATTCTAAAAAAATCTTTTAAATTAACTATAAAAGAACTCAAATTTTAACCCAACAAATTTGTCCGCTCTTCTAATCTTTTCTCAACAACATGGCTCCTTACAAGCGAAGTGCGGCTGGTGCTGCTGTAGGTGTTTCGTTCAGCCTTGTTATGCTCGCCTTTTTGTTTGTTTTTACTGTTCTCCCGTTTCTTGTGCTCTTCGGTGTTCTTCTCTACATGTACAAGCAATACAGAAAGATGAGAGAGGAAAAGGAGTATGTCATGCAACTTCAACAAAACTATTTGCTCAACAACAAAGCCAAGTTCTAATGGTTAGTTTTCGAAATTTTGATTAAAATAAATTTTATTTTATTTCAGAAAAGTTCTAATCATCTACTACTACTACAGACGACAAACAACAAAAGAAGTAAAGAAATTAGAAGTGAAAGAAGAATGTTATTTTCCTAAGATAAAATATATATAAATAATTTTGCTTTGTTGAATCTGTTGAATACCTATTTCTGTTTTTGTTGTTGTAAATAGAAAAATATTTAATAAATAAATTTAAAAAAAGATAAATACAGCCGGAATTAGGAAAATTTTTCAGCCGAAAAAAAAATCTCCACGTCGCAATTTAGTGTACTTTTTTAAAATTTAGCTGGGCACTAAAGGGGAGAGGAGCTGCTTAAGCTATCTACATATCCCCAGTAGTTTATGCTCAATTTTTTTCGTTAATTTGGCCCCACTTATTTAACTCCCAGTTGGAAAATATTACACAAAAAAATGCTTGAAGACCACTCTCTCGTTGAAAAATTTAAATAACCATAGTTCGCAGGGTTGAGTTTAATTAAGACCAAAAATAATCGGATAATAACAAAAAAAAGTTCTTTTTTAGATTAAATGTTTAGTAGATGTAATACAAAATTCTGTTTCTGAATCTGCTTCACTTATTGTTTCAGATATACTGCTGTGTCGTGGTGTTGAAAAAGAGACAACTTAAAAATAAATTTTATGAATTTAGCTTCTAGTTAGAATTTTATTTGAGAAAAAAATAATTATTTAAAAAACAATTTTCACCTCTTGGCCTCTCTCCTGTACTTCCATGAGCCAATGAACTTAGTGAAGGTGTTGACGGTTCTGTAGGGACAGTTCTGGAAGCCTCTTCCCCCATAGATATTGCAAATCTTCCTCCAGGACTTTAATTAAAATTTTATAAGAATATAGGTAGTACTATTATAGTCGGATCTCGGTTGTGCGTACATTTTTGGGGATAACAAAGTTCTAAGACCAAGATGTACGAAATTCATATACGTACAACCGATATCCGACTGTATAATTAATCAAGTACCTTCTCAATGATTTTGTACGCCTTCCCAATTCTCGGCTTACTTCACTCATTTCTAATTTTCCTGAAACCTTTCCTAAACCCGCTGATGTTGTAGCTGATGAATCAGCACTAGGCATACGAGTGGGAGGTGTTTTGCGTCGAATACCACTTGCATGAAGCATTGAACTTCGGGCACTAAATGGTAACGAAGGGCTTTTGTTTACTCGTTGGACTGAAAAAAAGTAGAAAATACGAAAGGTAGAAATAAGATTTTACAATGAAAGAGGTATTTCGGATAGGAGAATGTTTGGGTTTAAAAATTTCCTCCTTTAAATTCCAATCTTAGATATTTGATACTGATATATTAAACAAAAAAATGAAGGAAAACTGTCCTTCTATTTTTCAATAAAAGACTGGCTAAACTAATATAAAATTATCAGAATTATTCCTTTAAAATAACCAGAAGTAGTTGGTGCATTATCTACTCCATCATCCCCAATTGTTTCTTCCATTTCCATAATTGTTGTAGTATTTTCTTGTTGTTGACTTGAAAGACTCTTCTTTGCATTTTTTTCATCCCCTCCTCCTCCACTTCGAGTAGGCTGAATCCAACGAAGTTTTCCCAAGGCTGCAGAGGAACTTAAACGTCGAGATTCTCTTGTACCAGTCCCAGAACTCCCCGAATCCGAATGAATTTCTCCGCCAATTGTTGGAGTGTGTGAACGAGGAATTTCTGTTAATTTTAAATATTTTCCTTCCCTCTATTCAAAAAAATTATTTTTTTACCTAAACTTCGATTAGAAAAATCTTCTCTCAATAAAATTAATTCTTTTCGAAGTATTTGTAATTGATAAAAAATATTAAAAGAAGAATAAAATAATTTATTAGAATATTGTGTTGAAATAATTAAAGAATCTTCTACTTTTAATTGTTTAATAGTCAAAAGCCTTTCACGCATTTCTGATTGCCAAGAAGCATCCAAAAAAAGAAGAATCTACTCACAAAAAGGATAAAAATGACACAAAGAAGGAGAAGAAGCCTCATCATCATCATAAGAAAGGAAGCAGCAATGAAAAGACAAAGTCTCAGCCATCTCTAAAAGAAGAGATCAAAAAGGAGGAAAGTAGTATGGGTGATACAGCTGGTTATGAGGTAAAATTCTGAAATTTTTGGCATTCTGTTTTTAAACAAAAATTTCTTTTTTTTTAGACGCTGAGCAGTCTTGACCGTGCCATATTTACACAAAATAGCTCCGCGACAAAATCTGTTGGCGGCGAAGATGATGAGTAAAAGATGACCGATGCTCCTTCTTTTCGAACGGCTACTGTAATGTGTCTATGAGAAAAGATGTGTGGTAAAATGTTAAAAACGATAAGATTATTTCCCTTGCAAATCTTGTATTAAAATTGTATTTTTGTTGAATGTTTTCTTGTAAAATTAAAATACCCACCAATAACAACGTAGTATTGTAGGCATAATTAAGAAAAATCCTTGAATAGCAAAAAGAGATTGAAAGTGAATACTCATTGTTAAATAAGCTGTCATACAACGACGAAGAATTAAAACGTCTTCACAATGAATTATCTAATAAAAAATTTAAAAAATTATTTTTCTTAAAATTACCATAACACCATTAATTACATTTATAAATAAATGTAAATCACCAAACATAAAAACATTCTCCATTTTTTCAAACATATTTGACATTAACTAAAAAATTAAGAAATTTTTGAAGGGGAAGAAAGAAAATTTTAGGAGTTAAAAATGGAATTTTAGGAGTACCGAGAAAATCTTACATTTGCCCAAGAGAATTTATGTAAAGCATCCATTGTTTGTAATTCATCACCCCAAAGACCTTGATACATTCCAAAGCACGATTCTACAGCTTTGCGAGGGAATGATGGTAAATGAGTAAATTCGTCATGAAGAAAGAATATTCTTTGGGGAACAACTGATTCGGGTGAATGACGGAGAGCATCTAAAAATTAATTTTAAATATTAAGTTAAACACATTCTGAATACAATTTAATATATGTAATCTAATGATAATTTCACATCCGAAAAGTACCTATTTTTGAATGGAGATTTTAATAGCAAAGCTCTTTTTAGTTTTTTTTAGGTATCCATTCGATCCCTCGTCAGCAGATGAAAACCCTTATTGCTAAGGGACTAAAAAGTGGATACAGTCTCGCTAAGTGATTCAACAATTATGTATTATATTTAACACTTAAATGTGCCTGCAAAAATATTTCTAGCTAAAATTAACAAAAAACTAAATAATAACAATATTTTTAAATTATTAAACCCACTATGCGTAAGAAGTACTTTTCCAGTTTCAATAAGTTTTTGATGAAATGAATGTTCTCGAATTCTTTGTTCTGCTGTTTCTGCATCAAGACGTAAAAGTTGTAATTGAGGATAAAATGAACGATGAAAGAAATAAAAATCTCTTTAATAAAAAAATAATTTTTTTATGGAAAATATTTAAATTTAAATTACCGAACATAAGAATTTGGATTATGTAAAATAAAAGTTTTTGGATCGTAAAGATAATATTGCTGTTGTTTGTTTAAAACATTTTCTTCAATACCAAAAAAGTTGAGAGATTCGTTAATTAAATGCTGAAATTGTGTTTCTTCGAGTACTGGAAATTGTGCTGGAATTCCACTATAACCGGCACTTTGTAATTGGTCCGAAGGAAGGCCATGAACTAACACCTAGTAAATTTATTTTTTGAATAAAAAATAGTTTATTTAAAATAAATTAAATGTCTCAAATAAAGACAGGAACATAAGAATATTAATTTATGAAAATTAAAAAAATATTTTTAAAAATCTTTCCAGACTTTGCTTACTAAAATATACAGTGTAAACTATTTATAAAATTAATTTGTATCCAAAGCTTCTCTAAATTTTTTAATTTTTTTAAAAATTAAAAACACCTTTTTAGCGCTAGGTAAATTAGCAGTAATCATAATAGCCTGATCACATTGTTCTTTTTTTAAGGTTTGTTTCAAGTCTTTGAAATAAAGACCATGAACATAAGGAACAATTAACCAACAAACAGACAAAGCTAAAGCCAAAGAACGATCACTTCCTCCAATTTCCCCTCCTTCATTTCCTCCACTACCTCCTCCCGGCGTTCTTACATAAAACATTACAAGTCCCAATAAAGCATTTAAAATTGTATGTGCAGTTTGTGGGGGTAAAGGGCGAAAACGAAGAACGAGCCGGCGAAGAAGGGCAAGCATTTGTTTCTATAAAGGAATATTTTAAAATAAATTTAAAAATATTTTGAAAACTTGTTTGTCTCGATTTGTAAATTTTTCAAAAAAGTGGCGAAGAAATAAAGCAGTATCTTCAACAAGACAATTCCAAATTATATTTCGGCAGGTTTCGCCAACTAAAAAATATTTATGAATTAATACAGTATTTCCTCTAATGCAATGCCCCCCCCCCAATAGAATGCCTCTCTGGAGGATCATTGAAAAATAGAATGCCCTTCTCCAATAGAATGCCCTCCTCCATTAGAATACCCCCTAATAGAATGCCCCTTTGGAAGGTGATTTAAAAATAGAATGACCGGGCATTCTAGTATGTAGAAAATGGCTCTTATATATTCAATGCAATGAGTTTGCACGGACTTAAACTACATTTTTGATTCTTTTTAAATAACGGCATTAAACCAAAATTTAATTACAACAAGTATTCTGATGTGAAATAAATGCTCTAATAAAACGGAAACTTAAATAAGATATTCAAATAAAAAACACCTGAAACCCCTCCATTGTCAACTTGAGGGTCATCTAATAATTCTACAATTGTTGGTACAACGGAAAGTATTGAAGATGGAAATAAAGGCTGCGCCACAGGTATAGCTATTTGTCTTGTAGGAATGGAAAGGGCTGTCTCTGCTATAGTAGATTCATCTCCACCTGTTACACCTGAAGTTGAATTATCTGCTTGAACAATTAATTGTTGATGTTGGAAAAGAGCTGGTTCATAAGCTGCCTTAAAGGGAAGGAAAAGAAAATTATACTAAAGAAATGCCAATCTTGACAAAAATAAATTAGTATTTCGAGAGGTTCATTAGACCAATCGAAGCGGGGTGTATTTTCTCGATATAAAGAACTGAAAGGAACGAAAAAAATTTTTAGTATATCGAGTGATATTAAATCGGAGGGAGTAAGCTTGAGAGTCATCTAATGGTTACTTCATTAGATGGTTATGGTCACTTGAAATAATTATTGTAATTATTAAATTAGTTCTTTAAACAAAATTCTTTACTTGTTGAACAATAGCAGTTGCTCTAAACGGAAATTGTTCTCTCAATTCTCTCTGCCTTTCCTCAGCTCTCCTTAAGGCTTTTCTAACCATTTCTTGTTTTTGTTTTCTTCTTGTTCTAGTCATTGCCATAATTGTTTGTGTTGTTGATTGTTCTTCTTCCTTTAATGATAATTCCTCTATTTTAGTTTTTAATGGTGGCATCCATGGTGGATCGACAATAGGTACTTGACTTTGGCCAATTGAAGGGGATGGAAGTGTAAAGTCAATACTTGGTGGGGGGACCTAAATTGAATTATAAAGCTTTCTGATAAAGTTTGCTCTAAAATATTTAAAGAATCCCAAAACCCAACATTCTCTTTTATCTAAAGCAAAATCTTCCTAAAATTTACTTTAAATAAAAGTTGGGCCCCCTCTTCCAATTTCAACCAAACATGAAAACGTTGACGCCATAGAACATAAAAACGTTTAATAGCTAAAGTGCGAACAGAAGGATCAGTTGATGCAAGATCAGCAGCCATTAAAGAATTAATTTCTTGTGGGCATTTAACTGCACAACAAATAAAAAATGCCGCTAAAAATAAATTTTTTAAAATAATTTTTAAATTAAAAGAGACCAGCAGTTGCTGTTAAATTAGAATCTTCAATTCGAGTAAGTAAAGTCCAAGCAATCGGAATAACAGGCACAAGTTGTTCCCCTTTTATTAAAACAATACTTTTAAGAAGCGTAGAAAGGGGTGAATGAACTAATCCTAATAATTGTGTTTTTAATATTCCAAAAATGGGAGAATTTTTTTGTTGTTTAAGTTCTTTAGGTTCCGCAATTGCTTCCATTTCCTTTTATTTTAATTTTATTTATTTTAATTAAATATTCTCTCTTACATCCGTCTTTTTAGCCTTAATCTCTTCAATTTCCATCAATTTTTCAATTATTAGCCCTCTCAAGGCAAGAGGCATTCGATCAACACCGCTTTGACGGACATTTGCACTCTCTCTTCTTGGAGGGTTTGAAGAGTGCCTTTTCTTTAAAATTAAAAAATAATTTCAAAAATTCTTAAAATAATTCTTTTACTTGTGCATTATGTTGAATACTTTGCCATCTATCAATAAATTGCTGGCGCCTGTCGATTCGGCCCTCGAGGGAATGATTGCCATAAACAAAAGATAAAGCTTCTACAAGACGTAAACATTGTCTAAAAATTAAAAGAGTAAATTCAGTAGTCCTAAAATATTTGAGGAGTTTAATTAAAACTTTTGGAGCAACTTTTCTAAAAATAGAAGTCTAAAATCTTTTACTAAAAGTTACTTTCAATTCTCTCGGAAGGCAATAATTAATATTATCTTACCTACCTATATATCTTTTATTTTTTTTATCTTTACCTACCTATATATTCTCTCAAAACACCATTTAGAACAAAAATTTTCATGAGCACATGTAAACCCATAGCGTTGACTAAAGGCTAGAAGTGTCTAAAAATAATTTTTATATGTATTATGTATTCACAAAATTAAAAAACAATATATAGGTACCGTATTTCCTCTAAAATAGCACTCTTTCTAAAATAACCCCTCTAGAGGTTGATCGAAAAAACAATTCCCTGGGGTATTTTAGAGGAAATCGGTATCTACCTTTAACCAAGGCATATTTCTAATCATTTCTTCTTCATCATCCTCCTCTGCCTGCTCTTTTTGTATAACAGATGCAGCAGTTCCACATGACAAACGTTCTGGTGAATGTGGAGGTTGTTGTTGTTGTTGTGATTGTATTTGTTGTCCATCTAATGTTGGTTTAAGTCTAGAACCTTTAAAAATTTTATAAAAAATATTAATTAAAAAATCAAATAAAAAGAGAAAAAAAGCAAGCAAAACAAAAAGAAAGAAAGCAAAAAACACCTCTTTGAGCCATACTAAGCATAAAAATAGGTGATCGAGAAGGACCTCCTTGTTGATTATTTGTTGTTGTTTGTTCAGAAGAAGACGGGGGTATTTCCTCAGAATTTGCCAAAATAATATTTTCATTTTCACCTAATTCCAAATCTATTTCATCATTATTTTCTGTTCGGCTACGCCCAGCACGCATTGAATGTCTAGGAATTAATGAACGGGAAACTCGAGTTTTGAATGAAGTTGTTCGACGACGACGATGCGCAAAAGAAACCATTCTTTGTTGTTTTATTCTATCAACAACACAAGGATCGTCATCTGCCGTAGCACGTCTTACTAAGGGAACTGGAGAATAAAAAGAAGCAAAAAATTGAAGCAAAAAATAAAAATAAAAGCAGACCTCTATTTTAAATTTAAATGTGATTTATTTATGCCTTGGAAATTTGATGGCCAAATTAGCCCAAAAATATTCACTAAGATAATAATTAAAGTTTGTGGCCAGAAAACGATATCTGGCACGTTTAGAGGTTTAAAAAGGATTACAAGCCATAAGGGAGTAAATAAAATAGAGGGAAAAATATTTTTGCATGAAATGAGAAGCTATAATAATTTAAAAAAATTAAAGCGATTTTTAGAAAAAGCGAAAATAATTAAAAATAAATTATATTTCCCTCACCAGACTCGACATAACTTGATTCTGGCACGTCAACAGGTTCTACTGCAGTAGAGGGATGTTGGTGTGCTGATTTTGAGAATTTTCTTATTCTAATTTTTTTTTTCAAAATTTTTCTATAAAAATATATTTTTACCTAAAAGATTCTCTAAAAGATCTATTTAAATTAGGATTAAATACAGAAGAGGAGGTGTCAACAACAGAAGAAGCGCTAGGGGGAGGTGTTTGTTGTTGGGCAATACCTCCTGAAGAAGGTGAACTTCTTTTAAGAAGGCGTTGTCTTCCTTGAGCTAATCGGCGAACTAAAATAATTATAAGGAAATTTAAAATAAATTTTTATTTAAAAAATATGTAAAAAGGAAAGGAAATTTGGAAAATTAAAAGAAAATAAAGTTTAAAGAAGACAGAATTGAAAGAATAAAGTTTCTAAATATGGTTGGGGGCCCGGTCCGGTCCGAAAGATCGAGTCGGGCTTCGAATTTTGGACCGAAAAAAACTCGATCGGGCCGGCCTGAAGAAATGACTCGAACGTCGCCCGACTCGAAACCCCCAACCCTATTTTTAAGTTAAGAAAGCTTGAAACAAAAGCAAAAAAGCATTTAAAGAGACAGAATAAAGAAAAGCAATGTAAAATTAAATATTGTTGTTAATTTAATTGTTGTTAATTGTTGTTGTTATATTTTTAAACCTGATCTAGAACGGCTATGACTACTTCCAAAATCTTTTCCAGCCCCGGCACTTCTTCTACTTTTTTCGCTTCTAGCTTTATCAACAATTAATGGAGGATATTTCCTTTCTTCACTTAAACAATTTCTTCGTTGAAAATTATTTTTTTCTGTTTGTAATAAATTATTAATTAATTCTGTTGGGTCATTTTGCATTAATGGAGAATAGTAATCAACTTTCCCAAAAAGACGAGAACGAGAGGCAAATCGGAGAAAAGTAGAAGATAATGAAGAAGGAGATTGAGTATTAGAACGAGGGTGGATATGACGAGAATATGGCGATTTTTCTGTTGAGACTTTATGTTAAATAATTATATGAGGGATTAAATAATTAAATGTTTAGATTTTTTATTTAACGAGATAAAATTAAATTAATACAGAGTTCGGATCCAGAAAATGTTAAGTGCACGTACAAAAAGTTCAATTTGGAAGTACAAAAGGGGAAAAATTCTCAAAATATATGTAAGTACGCTACAAAAATACAATTTAAGAAATATCGTTACATTTTAGAGACGTCATAATCTCCTGTTCATGATTCCAAGACTTTTCTTGGGAGTTTTCGGTCTTGGTCTTGGGGTGCATTTCTTCCATTTTTTGTGGCGCAGGCGCAAATTTTGGAAATTTTAATGTTAAATTTAATTTTTTAAACAAAAAAGTCTATTTGTAAGTACGTACTTAAAAATATGTACGAATCCGAACCCTGAATTAATACAAATAATACCTATTTTAAAAAATTCCATTTAAAATAAACAACCAAATTATATATAAACTACTAAATATTATCTAAAATTTATAAATAAAAAAATAAAAATCCGAGTATTTGACTCCAATTTTAATAAAAAATCAAAAAAAGGCAAAGCTTAAGCTAAATAAAAATGGCAAAAAGCAGAAGGAAATGATTAAGGAGAAATTTGATTATAAATATTTTTCCATTTATTTAAATAATTCCCCCTTACCTTTTCCAGTTTTCTCTAAAAGTTGTTGTTGTTGAAGTAATTGTAAATGTTGTTCTTCCCCTATTAAATCATGTGATCCTCTAGGGGAATTTTCATCATCTGCTGTTGAATAACTTATACGGCGTTCCGGATGCAATTCATTAATTAAATGGACAGAACCACTAACGACATCTAAATGTTGTTGTTGTTGTAACATTTGAGGATTAAAAGTATTTGATAAAATAGACCAACGACGATTTGACTAAATTTATATTTTAAAAGGTAAATAAATCTGTTGATAGTATCGGTTAGTATTCGTGAGGCATTAATTTTAAGCTTCGATAACTACCTGTAAACGTTCCCAACCACTAGATACAGCACTATTTGCTTTTTGAGAAAGTTGTCTGCTTCGAGGTAATAATTGAAAGGTTTCACGAAGAAAAGAAGTTATTTGTTGTAAAAGCATACAAACCATTAATTGTAATGCTACGGGAAAAGCAGTGCCCAATCCTTTTCCTAAATTTTTTTTTGAGAATTAATAATTGAAAAAAACAACAACTCTGACCACATATTAGACATTCAAGTTGCGTTTTAGTTAACTCAACCTAAGGGAATACGTACCAGAAATACATTATTTTCACTATTTTCTTTGGTGTATTTAGCCATGATATTTAACCCGGTTACTTAACCCTTAATTTCTGGTATGGACCCTGAGGGTGTAATAATATGAGATGAAATATTTATTAAAGGGGTAATTATAATTGAGATAATACATTAAACAATTTTTAAAAATACAATCAATTTACCATCTTTATCTCCTGTATTCACAGTCCCATCATCCAAAAAATCCTCCAATTCATCCATTAATTTCAAATTTCGAATTTCTGCAGTACTTTTCAATTCCGTCTCTAAATCCAATTGACGTTGAAGTCGAATACCTAATTGAAAGGCCCAAGAGAAAAGAGCCCTCCCAATGGCCCGTTGCATTAAAGCAGTTCGACGAGAGGCGCCACCACCCCCTCCAATACGAATTGAACTTTGTGGTTGAAGAGGTGTTTGGGGGACACATCCTCCACTTCCCGTTGCCGAAGAAGTAAATAATCGACCTGGCAAAGACATTCCACTGAGAAAGATATTATTGATAGGATTGCTTGATTTTTAAACAGATTACCTTCGAATCCAATCGGGCCATGCACCGTTATTGCAACGATGAACAAAATGGATACATTCAAGTAATAAAACAGCTCTATAAAAATAAATGTTATGAATAAAGAAAACAAATTAAGAAATAATTTTAACATATATTTCCGTACCTCGAAAGTACGGTAGATTTCAATTCAGGAAGTGCAGCAATTAAAGGAGCATCAGGAAAGGTGCCAGGTTTGCTGTTCTCTAGAATAAAAGCAAAACGTGCTGCTCCTTCTCTTATTTCCTTTATCTACAAAAATATTAATTTAAAAATATTTTCTGACAAAATCTAAAAACTTGAACAAATTTTCGTTGAGGCAAGAAATTTGGAATATTTTGAGGTGAACTGGCTGATGGTTGATCAAAATGCCTTCCTCCTTTTTCTTCACCTTCTATAATTCCGAAATGAGCTTTCGGAGCTGCTAATCGACTTGGAGGTGTTGCTCGAATATTAGAGCCAGTATTAGACTTTCCTCCTCCTCCTCTCCCTACACTTCCAGCATCTAAAGAACCGCCACCACCTAATGAACTTTCCCTATCATCTTCTACTAAATTTGTTGTAGTTTGTTGTTCATCAGATGTTGCATTTAAAGAACCATCATCGTCTCCAAAATTTATGACAGTTTGATCGGAACTTGTAGTGCCATGTCGAGCCTGAGGAAAAATAAATTATACCCCTTATAATAAGATTTATCATAAATGAGATAACGTTTAGGTAGCTTCTCATAAAGTAGCCTTATCTTAAATTGAAATATATGTACTATGTATGTTGTACGTATCTTATAGAAGGTTCAGCTTTATTATTAATTCTCACTCCTTTAAGAAGTCCAAGTAATCGTCCAGTCGCCCCACCGCCTTTTTTTGTTGAAGAATTTTTTCCTGCTCCCTTTTTCGGTGCTAAAGTAACTGTTTGTGGTTGAGGACTTCCAAGCGAAGAATCGTCCATTGATGTTGAAGGATGGATTCTAAGTGGTGGAGTAGATTGTGTTGAATCCCCTCCCCCTCCATTTACACCTCCATCACTATCAGCACCACCACAAGACCCAGTTAATTCTTCTTTAGTTAATGTTGTTTGCATCCATTCTCTTTTTCTAAAAAGTCCACGTCTTAATGAAGCAGCATATTCTCTTGCTGGGGCAATTGATAATGATTGTTGGTTATTGTTATTTGTTGTTATTGTTGTTAATTTATTTTTGGATGTTGGTGGTAATGTATTTATTGTTGTTGATGTAAAATGTGAAGATGGTGGAGGTTCACTCCATGGACAACGAGCAGAACCGATTCGGTTTATAGTTTTTGCAGACATGGCACTCTAAAGAATTTATTTTCTAAATGATTTTAAATTTAATCCTCCAAGAAATGAAACTAACAACCCCGTTATCTGATAGAAGGTGTACAGTGGGGATCGTTCAGAAAAGAGAAAAATAAATTAAAGGAAGTTAATTATATTTAAGAAAATTTTTCTTGCCATTGCATATCTCCGTAAAGGATTTCCATGCTTCTCAAAAGTATAAGCTATCAACATTCTAACATCCTGTGCAAGACTCATATTTTCAGGCTGCCATAATTCAGCAGAAGAAGCAGTTAATTTAGAAAGTAAAGGTCCAAGTATAGCACTCATTAGAATACTTTCAATACCTCCATAAGCTTCATTAAAATTATTTTTGTAGGTTGGAGGCATTTTTGGAGTTAAATTTGTTTTGGTTGTTGATTGGGTTTGTTGAACTATTTAAAATATTAAATTAACAGGGATTTTTCTTGGGGGTTTTTTCTAGTGTTTTCTGAATTTAAATATTTCTCTATTAATTTTACCTTTCCCTCCACTAGTTAATATACTTCGTTGATGTAATTTATTAAAAGATGGCGAAGCACGGCAAAATATAGTTAATGAATGTAATGTATCAACCATTTGGGCTGTAGGTATTGACTTCACTAATTGACGAAGAAGTTCGATTAAAAGTTCGGAACTTAAATAAAATGATTTTTAAATTATAAACTCTCTTTTCCTTATAAAATGAAACGAAAGGTGGGATTTATTAAAGCCCCTTACACACTTCCTTAAACAAATACTAATGGGTTGGTTTCATTCCTTTACTTTATCAAAAAATGAAATTGAAAATCCTTAAATTCACTTTAGAGAGATTTCTTTCTAAAAACTTCCTTACTTTACTAAGATTTAATTAATTCAAAAGTGCGAAAAATAAGATGAGGGAGAGTAAAAATAGATAGCAATTCTCAAGGGCGAATTAATAATAACTCGAATTAATCTCTAATCATCTAATCTTGTACCCAATATTTAATTTAAATTAATTTACTTAATTCTATGCATTTGTGCAATTAAATTTCTCAATTTTATTCTTAAAAATTCTGCTTGAGGACATTTAACACTTCCTTCATTACAACCATTCGGACAACCCAATTGAAGACAAACACGGTGTAAAATATGTAAAATATTTTCAAAGAAAAGACGAGCTCCATAAAATTCCAAATTTGGCATATTTAGTAAAGTATCACAAATATTTAATACAATCTAGAAAATATTAAAAAGAAAATTCGAAATTAATTTTAAAAATTATCGTAAACAATCAATCCGTTAAACAGTCCAAAATAATTTTATTCAATAAGGGATTACAAAAAGTAATGTATAACCTCTATCAATCCCCCCCCCCTCTCCATCCCTAGATTAGTTACTCACTCAAGTGAGAGATTGAAACATAAATTACCCAGGGTAATTATTCAAGGAATTACGGTAATAAATATACTTAATTAAGATTCATATAGGTAATTTACATACCTCAGATACTTTAACAACAGTACAACGTTCCATTAAAGCCCCGAGGGTTTTAAGTAATGCTAACATAGATAAATGTCCATTTCCTTCAATAAATTGTGCACTGCCAATTGCTTCTGGGAAAAATTGAGAATATTTTCTTTGATAGTTTGATGGGGGTGAAGATTTGTCTTGAGGATCTGTTTGGAGAGATGAAGGAGGGCAGATAGAACACCTTCCATGGATTAAAGAATCAGAATGACGCGAAAAAAGTGAAGGCTCGCTACGGCTTCGAGCATTTTTATTTGAAAAACCAGAAGCTATTTCTGCACGAGAAATCTGAAAAGAATTAATATAGCTTATTCTTTTTAAAATTAAGGATGTTCCGAGACAAGAACTCGATCAAAAATTTTGGTTACTACGGCTGATTGATTCTGAATTGATAAATTTTTGGTTCTTCGAGATTTTTCGATGACCGGAGTCCCTCGGTTATGATGGCTATGAAAAGATAATAATAATCTTCTAAAGTAACACTATAAGAAAAGTCCTTGTAACAAAGTAAAGTAAATTAAGGTATAAAACAGCTAGAAGAAAACAACATACTCCAATGTTGTTTTTCAACAGACATTTCTAAAAGTACCACATTTTTAAAATCAACATTTAATACACAAATTAAATTTCAAAAATCTTTATAAAATTCCCAAATACCTTTTTTGTCTGTTTAATAGGTAAAGTATTTGCTGAAATTCTTCGCCTACGCTTATCGCTATCAATTTTTGGTATTAAAAAACTTTCTTCTTTTTGTTTAGCAATTTCTTGTTTTTGTTCAGCAACACTACTTCGTTTTAACCCTAATATAGACTTTCGACGTTCTTTAATTAATGAAACATTTTCTATTGGAGGTTGTTGTTGTTTTTGAGGGGAAGGAGGAGGAATGTTTGTTTCTTCAATTTTTTCCGTAGAAGGGTTTTCTTGTTGTAAATCAGCCCAAGTTAAATATTGCTTTAAAATTGGGGGGAATTTTATGTATATTTAAGAGAATGAAGATACCGATTCAAGATTTGTTGTCTCATTTTTAGATACTTTTCTGTTTGCAGCAGTGTCTGAGTTACATCTGACAAAGAATATAGGGGAATTTGGTATATAAAATAGTGGTTTTAAATATTGTGTGATAATGTATAGAAGTTAATAATAGGGTAGCACCCCGAGCCTTCAGGGCCGAAAGTGTCGGGATAGTGGTTTGCCGGGGAGAGCATGTCGGGGTTCGGGTCAGGGTTTTTGCCAAAAAGCTACCCTAGTTAATAATCCCACAAAATATTTCCACTACCTTGATCTAAACATTCCTTCATGTAAACATCTATATTGACGCATTGCTATTAAACGATTTAATAAATATTTTACTGCCCAAAATACTCCTCTTTCTGCCCAATTTTTAATTAATAAACATCTAAGAACGGCAATATCTAAATAATTAGCTTCGTGAGGGTCTGCTGTTAAAGAAGCTGTTGAAGGAAAAGGAGAATCACCCGCTGATTTTTCACCTAATCCAACGCTCATTTCCGAATCTGAGCGTTTTGTAATTATTTTTGATAATTTAGGGGTTGGAGGAATTGGAGTATTTTGTTGTTGTTTTGGTTGTTGTTTAATTGTTTGTTGCTGTTGTTGTTGTTGTTGTTGTAAGGGACGGGCAATAATTGTTTGTTGACTAGATTGGGATGTACTATCATCTCCAGATAAATTACAAGTCTTAAATAATTTATAGTTTTCTTTATTTTTTATTTTATCAGACCAATGTTCGAAGTGAGGATTTTGTTGTAGTTGTAGCTAATATATTACTACTACTAGCAACTCCTCCTCCCCCTCCTCCTCCAATTGTTTCTTCTTCCTCTTTTTGTTTTTCTGCTTCTTGCTTCTCAAATTTTGTTCCATTTACAGATTCACTGTCAATTGAAGCCCCAGAACATATTTCATTCATTTTAACAATTGGTGCATTAGCTCCACCAGTTAAGGACAAATTAAAAGAGCTAAAACCGCCATCATCGGAATAATGAAAAAGATCATCAATTTTTTGTATTCCATTAGAAAAACTCTCATCATTTAAAGAATCTGGAGAATTTTCAATATTTTTATTTGAATTGAAAGCATTAGTTGTTGTTCTAGATTTTCTTAAATTATTTAATTCTTGCTGTGATTGTTGGTCTGCAGCAGAGGATTTATAATCACTGACACTTCGAACAATTCCTAAATACATATTTTAAATATTTTTCCAAAGAAAGAGTTTTTGCCTTGTGAACTACTACTCCCCAAAGCTAATTGTTGCTGTTGTTTATTGCCAATTTCCTGAACTTCTTGTTCTACAATTTTATCTTTATTCTTTTTCTGCATTTCCAATTCTTGCAATACATTTAAATCGGTTCTTGGAGGTTTTGGTGGAGGAATTGCTGTTGTATTTATTTGTTGAGAGGAGGAGGAAGACGGGGGAATTTGTGATGGTCTTCGAACGCTCACAAATGGAGCAAATGCTGATGTTGCTAGTGGGGCTTTCTCTCCAATATAAATACCCTGATCAGCAGCAGTGCTTAAAAAAATAAAATAAAATCAAAAACGGTAAAGATAAGTTCTAACGGAGATTTACATCCAAATGGGACAAATATGGTTGAAATTTAACAACTATTTCCGAACATCACCTATTCTCCATATTTAAATAAAATCTCCACACCTTTGGGTTCGCTTCGTCCAAGGAAGCAAAGTAGATGTATTAAGAAGAGGTAAATGATTACGTCTTTGTTTTACAGGCGCCGAGAAACAAATAAGTTCTGGCAAACGTTGCTGCCAAAGTGCTGTCCAAAGCCGAAAACCACTTTCTAGTCGAATATGTCCCTCAATTTCTTCCTCATGAACAACGTGAAAAAGAGGAGCAAGTAAATAAACAAATAATTGAATTGAAGAAATTGGATAGGTAAACTGTCGAACATTTAAGCAATTATTAGTTGAAGGAGCTGACAGTTCATTGCTCAAACTGTTAGGAAAAGAGAATAAAAATTAAATATTAAGCCATTTAATTAACATTCCTAACTTTCAAAACCATCTTTTGCCCTTTCGGGCGTCCAAAAATTGCACAAGGCACTGCTTTCGCAGGCCAAGGCGGGCAATTGGTATAAGTTTTCAATCAGCAATAACAGCTCCTCGGCTAGGCCTCATTGGACGCTGTACTGCCCGAGCGCAAGGCTAACGAACTTGTTAAAGGAAAACTAATTCAGTTAAAATAATATGCTATCTTCATTGGGTAGTAAATAATAGCGAATATACATTTATTTTTCTATTATATTTCTTTCCTTTAAACGTTCTAACCTTTTTCACTCACTTTAATTTTATTTCTTTTCCTTTCATTTATTAATACAATTTTATTTTGCTTCTATTCTCTCTCTTTCAAAATAATTCTTGCATTATGAATTTTCAAAGTATCTCTTAAATAATTTCCAAAAAAACTTTTTATTGTTATCGGTAGGGTTTTAAATTATAGGAAATTCTTCGGATATCCGGAATCGAATTAAAGCTCGAACCGAAAATCCTTGGTTCTTCTTCTAGTTACTAAATTTAACATACCTACATATTTATTCTAATAGCACCACTGTGGTTCTCTATTTTTCAACCGCTCTATTTGTTGTGGTTATATTAATAGAGACTGGTTCAAATAGAGATGTGGTTCTGTTAGACTAACTTTTACATTTGACTATTTTCTAAACTTATGTTTTCCTGTAAAAAATGTTTGATAAAAACTGAATTGTTCTCTCATATTTTTTCCAAATTTTTTGCTTAAAAATACCCAAATTTTTCAACTAACCATTCAACATTAGCATCAATTAATAACCAATGTAATATATAAAGTATTTTAACTAAAGAACTACTCATTGCTAAACTTTCTTCTTCTCCAGCCCTTTCTGTTAATAAAGTAGCTGAACATTGTATAATATGGGGAAATGATGCCCGAACAAGATTCCAACGAGAAATTGAAGAAATAGCTTCGGATAAACTTGGACTTAAACCATGTAAAATATTTTGGACAATAACACGTTCAAATGTCTTCAAATATATAGGGGGATTTTGTGGGGGAAAATATTTTTATTTTTAATTTACCACACAAGAAGCATCTTGTAATTTATTAATTTTTGAACCAAGAAATGGACTGAAATAAATAAATAAATTTTAAAAATATTTTTAAATTACTTTGTTTGACGCCACAGAAATGATTGTATAGGTAATGGAATTGGCTCTGTTTCATTTTCATCTTCAGAATTACTACAATTTTAATAAATTTATTCTAAGTAGGTGAGATAAAAAGATTATAAAAATAATATATTTGTGACCGGCAAAATTTGTAAACTAAAAAAGTGCGGGAGCGGAAACTGTTATGTGCCGGTTATTAATATTTTTTGTACCAAATATTAATTTATCCTATAGTTATACATACTAATTCCACAACCCCTATACAATTTAATTTTTAACAACAAAAATAAATTCTGTTTATTTTAATTCAATTTATTATTTTTCTCTTTAAACAAAAATATAATTTAATTAAAATAATTTTAATTTACTTTGTTTTGGTTTCATTTTGAGAATCACTACCAAAAATACCAGCACTCAAAGGCATTAATAACAATTGAACAGTACCGTGACTGCTGTGTTGCAAGTATCTAACATGCATTTTTTAAAAATATTTTAGGAGAAAAAGATTAAAAAGGAGAAGATGAAAAGATGAATTCTGACAGTTTTTTTAAGTTAATATATTTGGATCCAATGGTAAAATTCTTTTAAAAAATTATAAATTAAATAAATACTGAAAAGGAAATGTGTGTAAAAAGGTCATTCTCAAACATAAATTTTATAACTAAACAGTGGATCAAAATTAATTTGAATTAAAGTAAAAACATTTATTTTAATTAAAATTAAATAACTCTTATTATACCGGATATGCTCAGATAATTATCCTGGGCAATTATTATCTAAATCCCTCGCTGAGGAAGGTTATTATTTGAGAGGGGGAAATTAACTGAAAGGGGGATATACGAGCATATATTTGAGCATATACGGCTCATAATTTAAGATTGTAATTTTTACATTTTATAATAGCAATCCTAATCTTTTAATTAAATTAGTAAAAAATTAAACTAAATTTATATAAGAATTTTGAAATAAAATTAAATAAAAAAATAAATAAAATGGTTCTTCTTTTTTTTCTCAATTACATATAAAGAAAAGTATGTATAAAGCTACCAGCATCAATTTAAAATTATTCATCAAGTATTGTTGACTTTTTTTGGTTAAATATGTATACCTTACACTTTTTCTGTTTGCACTCATTCCCTCTCTTGACTCTTCCATTTTTTGCCAGAAAAATAAAAATAAACATATGGTAAATTCTTTCACAATTTCAGACTTTTTGCCATTTTATTTTGTGTGGAAAAAGGAAAAAATTTTCCAGCAGCTTTTTATTTTTTAAATTAATTGTTGGAGGTTTAAAAAAGAGGGAGGGGGTTTAGTATTGGCAATTATTTTAATGCAAAAAATATATTTAAATTTGGAATTTAAAATTAAATTATTATTTTTATTTAAAAAACAGATATAGTTAGGGAGGGAACTACTAGAAATTGTAATGAAAATTATATGCACCAAAAAACAATTCGAAATATCCAGACAATATACATACATACTATAAACTAAGGTTGTCACTATCACCGGTACCAACGTTTTCGGTTAATCCAAATGTGAAAAATCCGGTTTCCGGTTTTGAGTTTTTGGCAAATACCGGTTTTATTTTGGGTTAAAAAAATATTTTTTTTTATGAATTTCCGGTTTCGGGTTTTAAAATTTCATAAAAACGATTTAATTCTTGGCAAAAAATCTCAAAAATTCCGATTGTAAAACCGGCCGTGAACAACCCTATTATAAACTTTTAATAATTCCCCAATCGAGATATAATAGTCAACATATTTGTGAACAATTAATTGTTGAAGAGAAAAAAGCTAATTATTTAAATTTAAAAGAAAATTTTATTTCACAAAATAGTTCATCAGAATGACGAATGTTTATTATGGTTAAAAATAAAATAAAAAGCAATATGGCAAAAAAGTGATGAAGTGTGTACATATTTAAAAATAAATAAAAAAAAAATACGTGAGGGACAATTGAAAATCTCTACGGGAATTTATTTTTTACTTTATTTTTGTTGGGTGCTCCTCCTTTTTTTATAGTTGAGTAAAATTTAGTGTTGAAAAGTTTAAGAAAAACGAGGGAGGAACGGAAAATTTATGAAGTAAAAAAAGACGAAGAAAGACCTCAACGAAAAATAAATAGGTTGGCCAAAATATGGAAATTTAAAAATTAATTTAAATAAAGCTAAATAAAGGGTTAAATAAATTATGAAAATAAAAATTATTTAGTTTTAAAACAGCAAAACATTAGCAATTGGACGTTGTCTATTTTTGAGATTTTATAAAATTTCGGTCACATATTTAAACTCTCACACAATCAAGAAATTATTTTTTTATTAATGATAACTTTCAATGAAGATTATTTATGTTATACATATTCTCCTACATGATACTGAAACTAAAACTATATTTTCTTAAGTTTTGAACTAACGGAATGCGAGAGTATATTAATTGATAATTAAAAGTTTGGATTAATAGGAAATAAAGTTATACATATGTATTATAAAAACTACCATTGGATCTTTTTCCAAATATTTTTTGATAATTAGTTAAAATTAATAAAATATAGGGGAAATAAATAAAAATATTTAAGAAAATTAAATTTAAAAAATTTAAATAAAGGTGGGTGTAATTAATTATTTTATAATTATTTTTTAAGAAAAATACTTACCTCCTTGCTTATGAAAAACGTTGTTTATTAATTAAAAAATATTTTAGTAAAATTTGTTTTGAAAATAATATATTTCTAAATAAATTCTAAATAAATTTATTTGTCAAAAAATAAATATATTTTTCTGTTAGAAAAAAGGAAAAGACAAATTCTCTTGGCAAATATAGAAAGAATATATCTTTTTAGAGAAGCTGTTTTGCCCATCTTTTTCTTTGTCCATAAGGATAAAGATGTGTTGGAATGCTTGTTTGTATATATTTTCTCGAATATATTTTTTGGGGAAGGAATTTTCGCCTTAAATTTCATGTGAGGATATTTCACCGAAATAATAATTCTCTTAATAAAAATATTGGAAATGACAAATTTAATTTAAGAAAAATATACCCTCGTTGAATTTATATTCTAAGTCATTAACTATTCCTAACTAAATGTTCTTGAAAAATTTTTAAATCGTTTACAAATCCAAAATATATAGAATATTAAAGATTTGGTTAAGATTGGGTGAAATATGTCTAAATCTCTTTATATCTACATATGTTTAAAAATTTCTAACGGTCTCCAGAAATTTTTTACAATTCCGTGTCATGATGCGGTCCCGAGCAATAAAATTTTCATTTCTTTAAGTTTACGTTTTTTATTCGGTAAAACAAAATTTTTTCCTTAATCCTAACTCAAAAATCGCCTAATTTGTATTTATTAATTTTATGGGAAAGCTCGGAGCTAATCATTTTATTAAAATCAAGTTTTATTGAGAGAAACAAATTTAAGAGAAGCAAAAAATAACTATAGAGAATGTCTAAAAATTGCCATCTTTTTAGCTTCTTTTTTGGCTTTTTTCATTTTATTTTTGCTGTCTATTACTTGGCCAAAACATTGAAGGAAAGTAAAAAGAAATGCAGAAATTTTCCCATATGGCTAACAAGCAGGAAATAAGCAAAGAAAAGTAAAAGAAAAATTAAAAGAAATAAAGTCGTGAATATTTTTAAATAACAAACACTCAATAAAATATTTAATAAACGAGAATAAAAAAGAGAAAAGGGATGTATAGTAATATAAAAATATTTAATTAAACTTCAAATAAGATTTAATTAACATATAAGTGTACTACAGGGGTGTGAGTTTCGCCTTTCGTTTTTTGTCGATTTTCGCCTTTTTTGGGCTTTCGTCTTTCGCTTTTTAAAATCTCTTTCGGCACACCGCTGGTGTACTAGAGCCTTCCAAGACTCTTGGTCTTGAGTCTTGACTCAAGACTTTTCTTGGGTTTTTTTTCGGTCTTGGGGTGAAGTCTTGGTCTTGAGTCTTGGTCACAAATCTTGGAAAATTTTCGGCCTTGGAATGCTCTAAGGTGTACTATAAAAGTACAAAATTTTATTTCAAACAAAAATCTCGTCAACATTCTGTGTTCTCTTCTAAACTTCTCAACAATATGGCAGGAGCTGATGCTGCTGCAGGTGGTTTCTTTCTTTGGCTATACGTGATGCTGATTTTTATTTGGTCATGTCTTCCCTGTATCATAATCTGTGTCACTGTTGGCGGTACTATAGGTCTCATCGCTTACTGTATCAACAAAAGCAACAGAGAGGAACGGGAGAATGCCATGCGGATCCAACAAATGGTTATCCAAAGGTCAAATTCTAATGGTTAGAATTTTTAATTAAATTTTTTTATTAAAATAATTTTCTTTAATTTTCAGTAAACGTCTAATCACAACTACCACTATAGGCGATGAACAATAAAAGAAGTAAAGAAATTAGAAGTGAGGGAAGGAAAATAAATATAATTTCTTAAATAATTTTGTTTTGTTGGATTTTGTTGTAGATTTATTTATTTTGTTGTTTATTGTAAATATTAAGGAGTATTTTAATTTATAAAGGAGTATTTTAATTTTAGGGGAAATAAGGAATTTTATTTTTTAGTGAGAAAAGAGTTTTTGGTTCTTTTGAATATCCTCCCTAGTTTTTTTTTCTTCAAGCAATATAGGTGATATACGTGAAGGAAAATACTTTCACAATATGGAATTCTGCAATCCAACTGTTTTTGAAGGCCAAATCCCTCGCTGTATCCTTGGAGTCAATCGAGTATAAAGTGTCCGAGTAGAGTAATCCGAGTATTAGGATTCCGAGTTCCGAGCCCAAGTACTCTACTTTTAATGCCAAATAAAAACAAAACTATAAAAGGGCTTTCGAATTTAATTCCAACAAATTTGTCCGTTCTTCTAAACTTTTCTCAACAACATGAAATATCGCGAGGATGATTTCTTTATTTTCATCTGGCTTAGTGTTTTGTTACCGTGTCTTTTAACATTTGGCAGTTTTTGTGGTGTTGGTCTCTACATGTACATTCAATACAAAAAGATTAGAAAGGAAAAGGAACATCTAAGTAAAGAAAAATAATTTTGCTTTGTTGAATCATGCGACTCCAACGAAAATATTTGCTCGCCCACAAAGCCAAGTTCTAATGGTTAGTTTTCGAAATTTTATGATTAAAATAAATTTCATTTTATTTCAGAAAAGTTCTAATCATCTACTACTACTACTATAGACGATAAACAACAAAAGAAGTAAAGAAATTAGAAATGAGAGAAGAATGTTATTGTCCTAAGATAAAATACATAAATAATTTTGCTTTGTTGAATCTGTTGAATATTTCTATTTTTGTTGTTGTAAATATGTATGTATATTTTAAAACATGCTAGAAATAATGGGTGTATTAATGTTGGCTGTTCCAGATATCTGGAACTTCCAGAGATTTTTAGGATTTTTGTCTTAGTTGAAAATGAGCCAAAATTATGCATAATTATTTGCCGTAAATGCTGAAATAATGTCCCTCTCTCAAATAATTACCCTCGCTCTATTAATTACCCCCTACAGCCAGAGATCGAAAAAATAATTACCCCTCTTAAAAATAGTTATAATTAGCCTTTTTAAAAACGCTCAAATGATTACTCCCTCCCTTTTAATTACCCCCTCTAGCGATAATTACCTTGTGTAATTATTTTAGCAAATACGGTATATTCATTTTATTTTTATTTATTTATTAAAGAATTTTCAGTTAATTTATTTAAAATTATATTTAAATATAAATTAATTCCATTTTTTTATCAAAAAATACCAGTTTCCCAAACATTTTCTCTAAATATATTTTCTCTTTTTATATCAATAAAATAATCAACACTATTAAGCCATTAATTAGCTTATATAAAATGATGGCGCTATTCCCGACAATAATTATGTACATGTTTTTTTTTGTTTTTAATCAAATCTTTTTTTTGTAATTAAAAATATTTATTTAATTAATTACAAAATTATTTGATTTAGTTAGAATTTTGGCGATTTACTTGGTTTTTTTGTCAACACTATTATATCACATTGGTATATTCTCTGGTTATAATTACGGATGTACATCCGGCCAGGGAATTTCAAAAAAACTTTTCAAATTCCCTAATTTTCGAGGACGAGGAACAACCTAAAGTTGTAATAAAAAATTAGAATTAAATACACATAAGCCAAATAACTTTTCGGCTTAAGATTCCCTGCTTTCCTTACTAAGAAACAACTCTAAATCTCGTTTCTTTTTCTTACAAGTAAATATTAATCTAGAGATTGGCCCAAGACTAAACCTTGAAAAAAAATCAGCTGCTATTTAGAGATCAATATTTTTCGAGATCTCGGTTTTCGTACAACACTCCCCAGTCCAATTTCTAATAACTATTATTTACATTCTAAACGGTGTCCATAAATTTCAATTTTGCACGTACTTGTACTATGTACTAAAGTACGAATACGAATTTCGTTACAAGCTTTTGAACACTGATCTTAAATAAAAAATATAAATTTTTCCCTAAAAAAATTAAATTATTTGTTCTAAACTTTAAAATATTTTTTAACTTTAAAATATTTAGTAGATTTTTAAACAAAAGTTTTTCCTATGCACCAGATATTTACTATTCATAATTTTCAACTTTTCATTATTTTTTTAAATTTTATTTTGATATTTTTTAATTCTTCATTAATTGTTATTGCTTGCACACAACAATATAGAAAAGAATTAAATTATTTAGATTATTATCTTGGAATAAGTCCCGGTAATGAAGATGGAGAAATTGGGGTTAAAGGTAGATTTTTGAAGGAAAAATTTTAAATTTATTTTTAAAATTTATTTAAATAAATTTTCTTTGGACTTTTAATTAAATTAGGTTTTGGAGGGGAAATAAATTAATTGGGATTTGGATGACAAATAAACTGTATTAATTACTTGGGATAATCGAATTAACTAAATTTATAAATACACTACGGTGCATATGTTTATGCACACTTGTTTTTTGTTCATAAGTTTATGCACACTTATTCAAAAAATAAGTTCTATATAGCAATCGAAAGCTCTATTTGTATCTCAGTTGACATGTTTCTGCATTTTCCATGAAAATAAAAATTGGCCGAGATAATCCGGATCTACCGGATATACCAAATCCCATATCCTCGGAAAAATTTTTCGGAAAAAATTTAACAAGCCCATTTGATAAAGCATATTTTTGTGAGTATTTATACAAAACCGCTTAGAAATATCTTTTTTCGGTCCAGAGATATGATTTTTTGAAAATCGAAAAAACGCGATTTTTTGACGAAAAATGGCAAAAATATGGTGTTTTTTCGATTTTCAAAAATTCATAACTTGGTCGAATCTCGACCGATTTGGATGAATTTTTTGTATTATATGTAGAATCTGGAGAAGAATCACATATATTTTTTACAGACTTCAAAAAAAATTTTCCGAAAAGTTGAAAATGTAGTACCTGTTAGACCGGTCGAAAATTTTTCGAAAATATTAGAATTTCGAAAAATGCAGAAACATTTCAACTGAGATACAAATAGAGCTTTCGATTGCTATATAGAACTTATTTTTTGAATAAGTGTGCATAAACTTATAAACAAAAAACAAGTGTGCATAAACATATGCACCGCAGTGTATTCTTTAATAATATTTATAAAACAATTTAGCGTATTTACTCGATTAATTCCCCTGGGGAATTATTTTTTCAGCCTATCCGGGCTCCCGGAGATTTGGGGAGTGGACAATTGGGGAGTGGACATTTGGGGAGTGGATAAGTGGGGAGTGAGCGGACATTTGGAGAGTGGATTTTTGGGGAGTGGACTTTTGGGGAGTAGCCTAACGATAAAAATAAAATATCAAATAGTTTTTATCTTTTGTTTGTTTACAAACTTTCTTTCTTTTGTTTACAAAGAGAAAATAAATTGTTAAAAAAACTATTAGTTTTAATAATTTTCACACTTTATTTACAAAGTGCATTATCGGTCTTAATATATGAATTAGAAGAGCCTGTACTTCCATATGTTTTCAACATTAAATATTCATCCTAAATATATAAAAATAAAGAAATAAATACATATGAAATTTGGAAGAAATTGTTATTCATTTGTTTCATTCACAAAATATTTTTTTAAAATTTGTCAAAAATTAAATGTCTTCTTCTTCCGAAGAAGGAGAATTACCTAGAGCCCAGAATGAACAAAACCAGGAAAAAATCTTTTTTTTCGCTAAAACCTCTAAACAAGCGGATATTTTAACAGCGGATGGATATGAATATAACTATGAATCTGACAGTAGAACAGCACCAGGTTATCGATTTTGCCTAATATATCCTGAAGTATGCTTAAAAATAATAGTCATTTAAAGGTATAGAATATTGGAAATGTATCCGCCATAGTCCCTATTGTCCAGGGCGTATCCATGTTCAAGCTGAAATTCGGCAAAACGAACAAGGACAACGATATAAAATTGGTGTTTTGAAAAATAATCGTCACAACCATCCTCCAATTCATCCATCTATCCGTTCTAGTCAAATGGCATTGAGAGAACAATCTATTGCTGAAAATCCTACTTCAACCCGACAGGTACCTTCATTCATTGCTTTTTAAAAATAAGCAAATTCCACAAGGCGGTTGATGAAGTTCGTTCGAATATACCTCAGGAGGTTCGTGCAACTCAGGCATCATCAAGTGCTTCTATGGGAAGAAGCTACCGCCGATATGTACAAGAAGCACGCGCAGAGGCTGGAGATGACTTACTTGACCTACCTCAAATTGTTATTCCTAATAACCTCCAAGAAATAACCATTTTTGATGGAGTTGAGGAAGGGAATCGAATTATTGTTTTTATGTCAGAATTTGGTGCTAATTTGCTTGAACAAAACGGTGTACATATCTCTATAGATGGGACCTTTAAAGTAATTTAAATTAATAAAATTAGGAAAAATTTAGCAGGTCGCTCCGATTCCTTTCGTTCAATTATACAATATTTCTGTTCTTGTTGATAGTGTTGCTATACCTGTAGTATATGCGTTGCTTCAGGCTAAGACTATTGCACAATACAGACGAGTAAGTGAAATGTAATTTAGATAATATGTAATAGAGATCAGTCTGGATCTAGATCCAGTCTGGATTTTTTCTTGATCAGATTTTTCCTGGATCCAGATCCATAATCCTGTCGAGGTTACTAACCTAAATCCAGATTCAGAATCCAGATCCAAGATTTTTGAAAATACATATATTTAGTATGTAATATTATCAAAGGTTTTGCTTTCTGTCCATGAAAGGATCCCTGGTTGGGAACCTGTAACTGTTATGTCTGATTTTGAACAAGCGGCCATAAGAGCTTTCGAGGAAATATTTCCTAATGCTACTCATAATGGTTGTTTATTTCATATGAGTCAAAGTATATATAGAAAAGTATGCACCAATTATTTCCTTTTTAATTTTAAATTGTAAGGTTCAAACATTACCTGGTCTTAATGCTCTCTTCTTGAATGCAAACCAAGAAAACCATGAAACCCGAACTCTTATTAAATCAATGATTAGTCTTGCTTTTGTTCCTCCAGGCGGTCCCTTATATAATTACTTTTGTCTAATCGTAAGACAATTTCCACAAAACCTGGAAGTTGAAGGTATCTATTCTATTTTTAAATCATTTTAATCTCTAATAGAATTGGTTCGATATTTCGTTACGACCTGGATAGGATGCGCACAAGTACTTCAAATTGAACCAATTCCTTTAGAAGATGAAGATGATGAATACGGAGCAGTCGATGCTTGGATTCGTAACTGGATTATGAATAATGGTTTGCAACATAGGAATTCTTTATTTCAGCAAGAATTGTGGAATATGTGTGAAAGGTGTATATTTATTAGGGGTGGGGGCCCGGGCCGGTCCGTTCCGAAAGATCTAGTCGGGCATCAAATTCTGGGTCGAAAAAGACTCGGTCATCATAAAAATGAATCCCATAAAATGACTCGAACGTCGGCCCGACTTGAAAACCCCAACACTTCATATAATATAGATCTAATGTTAAAAAAATAAATTTTTAAAATAGAATTGACAATCAACTTTGCCGCACCAACAATTCACTTGAGGGGTGGCATCGTTCTTTTAACTCATTATTTCGTGCCTATCACCCACCACTTAGCACTTTTGTAAAAATAATGAAAAAGGAAGATAACCACTGGCGACTCATTGTCGAGGACTTTAACAATAATCCTGTTAATGGTATTAGAGGGAAGGTAATTTGTTTAGACAAAAAAATTTTCGAGTATTCTATAGGGTATGGAAAGAAAAAATGTTTATGTTGCCCAAGATGCTGCATTGTTAGCAATTTTTAACTCTCGTGAAGAGCGTGAGCCACTAGATTATCTTCGGGCCATAGCTTATAGAATGCCTAATCCGGAATGATGTGAAGTTATTAGTTTATAATAAAAAAAACTAAATTAGTCTGAATGTATTACGGCATATTTTAGAATATTTTTAAAAATTTCTGTCCACTCCCCAAATGTCCACTCCCCAAAAGTCCACTCCCTAAAAGTCCACTCCCCAAATGTCCGCTTACTCCCCAAATTTCCACTCCCCAATTGTTCACTCCCCAAATGTCCACTCCCCAAATTTCCGGACACGGCCTATCCGTGGCATGGGGAATTATTCAAAGGAGGGGATTATTCGAGTTTTTAAATTTGAACATGTAGTAACTAGAAAATTAAACTTTGTCCTTAAATTACTGTAAATAAGCACCCTATGTTTATTTCCCAATTTATGCGAAATTATCCTTCAAAAACAAACGGTTGCCAGAATTTACGATATTTCTGAATAAAATAAAAAAAATGCAAAATACTTAACCAAACATTTACATTTTTATTTAATTAAAAAAGAGCAATTAATGGATAAATATATAAATATTGCCTCTCAATTAAATTGTGATTTTTCTACAAATTGTTTATGGGCAAATGCCCCTTCTGATGGATTACTAGATAATAGCGATTTTTATCTTTTCCAAAAGAATAACGACAAATCATTTCCTATACAAGTTGGACCTGGAAATTCTCATCCAGAAATTGGTTATTCGTTTGAAAAAATTTAAATTTAAATAAATTTTTGAAGGTACTTACTTTGCTTTTGCTGGGAATTTAACAAAAGATCCAAATCACGCAACTTTAATAAGTGCCCCAATAGCCTGTCAAAGCACAACAGGAATTCTCTCATTTGAGTTTAAAAAAATATTTTTTTGGAAATTTTTTAAATTTGTTTTTAAGATATTGGCTATATAATAATGCAAGAATTGAAGTTATTGTACTTAAAGTTAATCCGACGTGAATAATTTATTTTTAATTTAATAATTATTTTTGATTGAATATTAAAAATTTAATTTTTAATTTTTTGGGTTCGTCCTCTTTAGTTAAAGTTTAAAAAAATATTTTTCGATTAGAATTGTTGATAATATTTTAATTTACCTAAACTAATTATCTAATTATTTTAACTAGGGTAGCACTCCGCCCCCCGAAACTCTGACTCGACCCCGGATGAATTTTTATGTAAAAACCCCGACCCCAACCTCGAAGGCTCTACCCCAGCAAACCCCGATCTCCGGCGATCCCGCCCCCGAAGGCTCGGGTTGCTACCCTAATTTTAACCGAAAATAATTTTTTTCTTTTCAAGTCGAGGACATTTAACAGTAATTGAACGTCCAATAACTGACTGTCATTATTTAAAACCAAACGGTCTTTGCCAAGTTGAAATTAAAAGACAACCACAACCATTTAGATTAGCATTAAGAGGATTTAAATTGAATGATCAAACAATTGGTTCTTTTGTTTTGTTGACAAAAATTAAATATGAGGCTAATTTATGTGGATTTTATGTTAAGTATTTTTAATTGAAAAATTAAAAAAAAATATTTTTTTGTAGATAAACCCCCGATATTTGATGCAATACAGACATCTAGATGGGTACATCAAAGAAAACCAATAATAACAACTTCTGATTTAAATTGTGGAAATGAAGAGGGAAATGAAGAATTATTTCAAGTAAATTTTGAAAAAAATAATTTTTTAAGTAAAGATGGGGAAAACAAAACTGGAAATGTCTAGTTATTGACAGTTTAAATGCGTCCACAAAGAGATTGGATTTTCGACAATTTTCTCACCTTTTATTCCCTCATAGCAGACAGGTAGACCACTTACAGGATAGTCACCAAACAAACTTTTTTATAAGGAATTAAATTTCGGTAAATAAATTTTATTTAATTAAAAAATTTATTTATTCATTCTAAATATTCGACACCCTCATTTTACAATCTATCAAAAAATTATCTAATAATATAATATAAATTCCAAAATTATTCCAATTTTCGACTAATTTCTGACTTTAAATAAATAAATAATTTCTTCTTTTAAATATAAGGAATGTCTCTGGTTTGATTTTTCAAAAACAGCAAGTTCCAGTGTTTCCCATACAGCACACTGGTCTATTGGAGAAAAAACATATTTATGGGAGCAAATAGTCAGAACGCCTTCCAAACCTTCTGGCCAATTTTATTTTCAATTTATCGACCCAATTGCCGAATTTCCCCTTCCACAATTACGTTCTGTACTTGTTCCGTGTACTCAAAGTCCTTCAACTCTTAGTTTTAAGTAAACTTTTTTAATTTAAAAAATTATTTTGAATTTTTTCTTAAAAAGATTCTGGTTAAGTCCTGGAGTTCAAGCACAAATATGCACTTTGGGGACAGATAATGTAGCTTTATCTTGTGTTTATCTTAATGAAGCTGATGGTAAATATTAAGGGATTTAATTAATTATAAATTAAATTGGGGATGTGACGGATTGAGAGAGAGCAAAGTCGGATCGAGTCAGTACCACTTTCAGATAACCTGTGACAGTCTTGCTTCCAATATAATATGCTCTTTTAACGAAAAAACGCTAAAAACTTCTCTTTTCAATTTATTATAAAAAATTTTTTTTAATTTTCTTAAAAATCGCCAGACCGTATTTTCTCGAATAATTCCCCGGGGAATTATTTTTTCAACCCTTCCTTGGTATAGGGAATTGAGAGTGGGGAATTATTCGAGGATGGGGACTTAAAAAAGCCATATATAAAAAGTGCCATATATTCTACTAATTTTAAATTAGAAAACTAATTTTTTAGTTCCTGGCCCACTCACAGTAGATATTGATACAGCTGACCATCAACCTTTTAGGGTATATTTAAATTTTTGGGAAGATTAAATTTTTTAATTTTAAGTTTGCATTTAATGTTCTTCGAGTAGACAGAGAAGCAAATGGGGGAGGGGCTGTAATTGCTTTGGATGAAATTAAATATAATGGTTAGTTACTTAAACTTTTACAAAATTTACAAAACAAACACACAAAAAACAAACAAAAACAAAATTACAAATCCTCATAACAATACAACAATTTCAATCAAATATTTTTATATTTTCTCAATTCTTATTTTTTCTTGCCATCCCCTTTGTCTGTCATTGCAGCAGACCACAGCATTTTTTCTTTTGAGAAAGGCACTTGAATTGTTGAACCAGGACCTCCACCAAGTTGTTGAGGTTTTGGCGCTGATATTTTTGTTGATGTAGTTGCTGCTTTTGGATTTTCTTTAGCTGAAAAATAGAAAATATTTTTGAAACAAAATTTCATAAAATCCAAACTTACGTTTTGGAGGATTTGATGGAGATTGCAAAGTAGGAGGCTTTTGCTGTTTTCCCGGTGGCGGTTGTTTCTTTTGGCCTCCACACGTGACGATACAAACACCGAAGCTTAAAGCGAATGGGAGAAGTAAAAGAAGCCATTCCACCAATAGAAGAGTAGTCAACGATGATCCTTCAAGCATTAACTGACCGAGCATTGTGTCCACAATTTGTTGACAACAAAGGCGAGAATGTGTGCCTGAAAATGTTTTGTGTTTGTAGATTGTTTTGTTGTTTGTTTGTGATTGTTTTTATAATACAATTTTGTTTGTCTCTGGTATCAGACAAAATCTCTTCATTTCTCTTAACAATTACACACTATCTCTCTCAAACATTTCGAATAACTAAAATTAATAATCCATTCATTTTTTAAAAATTATTTTAAGGTTGGCTCTGTCATGAACAAACTCCAACTACTTCTCCTTCACCAATACCTCCATTAGCTTCACTTCTACAATTAAGACCATTACCTACTGCCAATTCTGTCGATGCTTCTTTAGCTTTCCCCAATTCACTGTAAAAGTTTTTTCTGTTTTTAAATTTTAATTAAAAATTTTGTGGACAGAGAATGTGATTTTGAACAGGGAGATATGTGTCCACATTGGATGCATAATAGTTATAGTGATTCTGTAACAGACGATTCTGGGGATGAGGCTGTAGATGAGACAAATAAGTAAAAATAGAAGCAATTTTTGTTAATTTTTTAAATATTTTTTCAGCCAACAACGCTTTCGTCTTGGCCTCGTCCCACGCGGCATTTTGCCTTTACCATTTCCCATAGACGGCCGATTCCGTGGAAAATATTCTGCTGTTGCAGTTCTCGATTTGCGAGCTCAGGAAGAACAATTTGCCATTTTAACTTCACGTCCAATTGATTGTGTGGATGGAGGGCGTGTTTCGGTCCTTTGAGATTTTTATTTTATTTAAAAACAAATTTGGTTCTTCCTTATATTAGAGACTGTAGAGATCGAGCTAGACCTGGACCGAGGTCTGGGTTTTTCCTGTACCCAGAGTCCAGGTCTAGACATTTTTTGACCTTCCTGGGTTTTTCCTGGGCCCGGGGGGTTTTCCTGGACTACAAGCCAGTATACAGCCCATGTCAATAAATCAAACTTCAGAGTCCAGGAACAAGTCCAGGCTTTTCAAAAATCTCGATCTTTAAAGGACTACCGTAAATGCTCGAATAATTACCCTCTCTCACATAATTGCCCCCTCTCAAATAATTACCCCATCTAGCGAGAGGTTGAAACAATAATTACCCAGGGTAATTAATAGAGCATTTACGGTATATAGTAACAGAATTTTCCCACACTTACCGTATTTGCTCTATTAATCCCCCAGTCTTTATTAATCCCCCAGGCTCTATTAATCCCCCACCCTGGGGATGGGTTGAAACAATAATCCCCCTCTTTCTACCCCACTCTAATAATCCCCCAGGCTCTATTAATCCCCCACCCTAGAGATGGGTTGAAACAATAATCCCCCTGGGGGATTACTAGAGCAAATACGGTAATTGTTTCTCTTAAAAAATTTTCTCTTATTTTTTAAAATTAAGATTAGCTATTTTGCCTCTCCTGGTGCTCAATTAAGTATTTGTGCCAATGAACAATGTGTTTATCCAAAAAGAAAACGTTTTGGAAGTCAATCAACTTCTGAAATGTTTTTACAAATTTGAAATATGTTTTAATTTTCCCCTTTTAAAGGTCGGTTGCTCTAAATTCTGCTCGACCTTTCAGAATTAGAATTGTTGCAGAACGTAATCGTTCTTTCCCAATTAATTTAATAAATGGATTTTATGAACCTTTTGTTTTAATTAAAAGAATTGGTTTGACAAAAATAATTTTTAATTATTTTTATTTTAAAGCAATACAAAACAAAGGTTTTTGTCGTTTAAAATCTTCAGAGGAAATTACTTGTAATTTACTTAAATGTTTATTTAATGAAGAAGGAATTTGTCGTTATAAATCTTTGTTCCTTGCTGCCGGAGATGTTCCTTTTGTACATAAAAAAGGAGAAGGCAAATTAACTATATTTAATTTTTTAAAAGGAGAATTTACATTTTGTGGATATTTTTTAAATTAAAAAATATAATTATTATATACTTGCTTTGAAAAAATTCATTGGATGGGAGATGATATAGAACCATCCTGGAAAGGTATATAAAACCATCATGGAAAGATATATAGAACCATCAATATATATAGAACCACACTTGCAGAAAGAATATAAATATCCCATCGTCGGGTTGGATGGTGCACAGTCGGTTGTGTTCCGGTTTGGGCTCTTTCCATGATGGTTCTATGCCATCACCCATCCAATGAATTTTTCCACAGCATGGATAATTATTTTTCGAGATAAATATGTAGGAGAATAAGAAGCGTTTGAGGAGAGAATAATTTAAATAATTTAAGGAATCTCCGCTCATTTTACTTCTGGAATGCGTCGTGCAGTTCTTCGTTCTCCCAATTTCCGAATTTCCTTAAATTCCCAAATAGAAATGCATTTAATAGCCAGTTTATCAACTTTCGGTTCTCGTCTATATATTTGTCCAAACGATCAACAACAACAAACTCAGAGAAAACTTTTGGCAGAAATTGAAACAATGGGGGAAGGAATGTTTGTGGAAGAAGATGATACACTTAAAGAATTGGGAAATTGTGAACCTTTACTTGGACCGAAAGTTTTTCTTTTCTAAAAATATTTTTTAAAAAAATATTTTTTTAAAGGTTGTTAGAAGTAAAATGGAACATTTAATTATTCAATTAGATCCAGAAATTAGACATTTCTCTTTAGTAGCAATTCATGACAAATTTGAACAATTTGGGGATGCACAAATAGTAATACACTCAATTAAATTAAATGATCTCAATGGTCAATCAATTTGTTAAAAAATATTTATTTTGATAAAAAGAATCTTAAATTATGTACAAGACTGAAATTTTTTATTTTTGTTAATTATTTTTGTGAATTTACGTTTTTAGAAATTTTATGGCCTAACTACAGTTTCCGGTCCAGGCTCAGAATTGGACGATTTATATGTCATTCGAAAGAGCTCGGCGAGCTGAGTCGAATGACATCAAAATTTTTCAGCGGAAAAAATTCTGAGCCGAGATATAGGGCTCGAAATGGTCAAAAATCATAGGGGGGAGTAAGCTCATTTTTGGGGTGAAAAATTCAAATATACAAATAATAGCTCATTCGAAAGGGCTCAACGAGCTGAGTTGAATGACACCAAAATCAGCTCGATTGGATGATTCTGAACAAAGTTATGACCAACAGAATCTTCGCTGGAAAAACTGTTTTTGTGCTGCTACGGAGGGTAAGCCGGGCATGGTCTTCGCTACACGATGGCCGTGCTTCGCTGCGGTCGTGCTCGCTGCGCTCGCGGCGACCGTAGCGAAGCGGCGGCCGTCGTTCCGCTCGACATGCCCGGCTTCCTCCGCAGCGGCAAAAACTTTTTTCCGCGAAAGCCTTGTGGAAAGGGGCTAAAACAAACGGTCAGAACTTTGTCAAATCAAGCCAGATTTCATTGATTTTGGTGTCATTCGACTCAGCTCGACGAGCTCTTTCGAATGAGGTATAATTTGCATATTCGAATTTTTCACCCTCAGAAAACAGCTTGGTCCCCCCTATGGTTTTTTGAAATTTAGGGGTCTGTAACTCGGCTCAGAATTTTTTCCGCTGAAAAATTTTGGTGCCATTCGACTCAGCTCGACGAGCTCTTTCGATTGACATATAAATCGTCCAATTCTGAGCCTGGACCGGAAACTGTAGTTTAGCCAATTTTAATCTATTAAGAGGTACTATTGTAATATAGCTATTTAATTCCTAAGGCTGTGCAGTAGGCGGCGTAGTGTAATGGCTAACACATCAGTCCGGTCTACTAAAGATAATGGTTCGCTCCCAACCGCCGAATAACCTTCTGCACTAGCTGAAAGAGGGAAATAGCAATAGACCAGCTTTGCTTTACTATCATAGAATAAACAATTCCGGTTTTTTTACAGTGTACACATTTCTTTTTAACTAAACCCCGCTTTCCCTAGAAAATTAAAATCCCTGTAGTTTTATATTTATTTAGCATGAAGAACAAAACATAACAAGAATTCAACAAAATATTTATCAACAAGAGAATTATGTACATCCTTTCCTTCTCTTCTAATTTCCTCACTTCTTTTATTGTTTATCACCTATAGTAGTCGTTTGTCAGAGCATCTTCACTGAAAATTTAAAAAAAATTAATTAAAAACTACTTAAAAATTTAAAAACCCCTAACCATTAGAATGGGACTTTTGGACCAAATAAGCTTGTTGAAGTCGCATGACATCCTCCTTTTCATCTCTCATCTTTTTGTATTGAATGTACATGTAGAGACTAACACCAAAAAGACTGAAAAGTATGAGGAAACATGGAAGGAAAGCGTTCACAAAAAACAACGAAAGCATAAGTTCACCCGCCATGTTGTTGAGAAAAGTTTAGAAGAACGAACTAAGTTGGGATATAGTGTAGTGTACCGGTGGTAAAAGTTCGGGACGTGACATATGTCATTCGATTCGTCTCGGCGAGCTGAGTCGAACGGTACCACTCTCAACTTTAGGAAATGATTCTGGGCCAAGTTATAGGCCCCGAAAAATTGAAAAACCATAGGGGGGAGTAAGCTAGATTTTGGGGTGAAAAATTCGAATATGCAAATAATAGCTCATTCGAAAGAGCTCATCGAGCTGAGTCGAATGACACCAAAATCAACGAAATCCGACTTGATTGGACCGAGATATAGACCCCTAAAAATCAAAGATCCAAAGGGGCGATTTTCGGAATAAAAAATTTTTTATACAAATAATAACTCAATCGAAAGAGCTCGACGAGCTGAGTCAAATGACACCAAAATCACCGTGATTGAACAAGATTAGACAAAGTTACGACACAAAAAACAAGCAACATACTAAACCTATGGAGCGTCGGCGAGGCGCTTGTGCAAAACCCCGCGCTTCGCGCGGGGTTTTGCGGCACGCGCCTCGCGGGGAGTCTACGGGCGCTGGGTCTGGGTCAGTAACATAAACCTATTCCTATCTCCATTGCTCTGGACGTATTTGTGGCCTCCGTAGCAGCAAACATCTCCACAGATGCCATAGGTAAGGAGCTAAAATAAAAGATCAGAACTTTGTCCAATCAAGTCGGATTTCGTTGATTTTGGTGTCATTCGACTCAGCTCGACGAGCTCTTTCGAATGAGCTATCATTTGCATATTCGAATTTTTTACCCCAAAATTGTGCTTACTCCCCCCTTTGGTTTTTCGATTTTTCGGGACCTATAACTCGGTCCAGAATCATTTCCTAAAGTAGGGAGTGGTACCATTCGACTCAGCTCGTCGAGACGAATCGAATGACATATGTCACGTCCCGAACTTTTACCACCGGTACACTACACTACAGCCCTAAGTTGTTGAAATGAAATTTTAAATTTCTTTTATAGTACAGTCGGTCCTTCCTTGGGTACATTGGAACTGGAAAAATCGTGCATTGAGGGATATACTGAATAGAAGGTAAGCTAAAGTGAGGCTATTAGAGTTAAAAACCTCTCATACAATATCGAGTTTTTAAAGAAAAAATTGCATTTTCCTATTAAAAATATACTGTCGAGTTCTGTGGTGTAAATAAATAATAAATTATTTTTTTACAGAAATATTTTTCAAATGGGAGTTGAATAATGGGGAAGTAACTAAATTAGAGAAAAAATTGTATTTTTAAAAATTTCGAAAATCAGAAAATATCAAAGTCAAAAATAGAAAGAAAAAAATCAAAATTCAGAAAAAGCTCTGCTTTATAGTAGAAGCTAGATTTTAATTTTTAACTCTCAACCTACGGCTCATTTAGAATAACAGAGAATTAACTTTTAGTAAAAAATTAAAAAAATTAAAAGTATTTATACATACAAAATCAATCTTTTAAAAATCATAAAAATTTTCTCTCTTTTTCAAAAAATATAATAAAAAAATCTTTTTTCTTTAAAAAAATTGTCGGAAGTATATAAATATTTGGTTAATTTTGGGGTAATATTTCTTTAAGTTAATTTTTCCCAAAAATGGAAATCAAAAGTTTTTGGAAAAGCAAATTTAGTTGAAATTGTTGAAGAACAATTCTCTTTATAATTATTGTATAGACGATTAAAGAAGTTTAAGCCAATTGGGATTTTACAAAGACGAAAGGAAATTTTGGCAGAAATTATTTGATTACCTAAAAAATAAAAAGAAATTTTTGAAAGAAATTTTATTTTTTAATATAATATACTTCTGGAACTTCTGGGAACTTCAAAAAATCTGGTTGAATGCTAAAATTCCAAATAGATATTTTTTTAAATAAATTAGAAGCCAGGTAATCTTCTGGTTCATTGGTCCCTTGACCCAGCAAGCTGATGACCTACTGGCATGCCTCAAAAACGACACTATTACCGTAAAAAAATTAATAATCCCAAACCCCTCTAGTTTCTAAAACACAAACACCAAAATTTTGGAAATGACTGGAACAGGGTTTTCAGTTAATGGTTTTCAGGTTTTCAGTTACCATCGTTTACTGTGATTGCGAATTTGATATATTTTTTGGCACCGAGTCATTTTGCAAGAAAACCCGCATAACTTCATTATAGGAAGTCGATGGTGCTCTATCGAATGGTACCAAGAAATATATCAAATTCACAGTCACAGTAAACGATGGTTCCTTGTAAGAAGTAAACCGATGATTTTCCAATAACCGCCAACCCTTGCCACAAGCCACCATCCCTATTAGTTTATAAAAGATAAAACTACCTTTAAATTTAGCAACCAAAATAACTTGTTGAACAGACAAATTAACATTTTGTTTCTCTTCTTTGTAATTAATTAATTTAATTGGAAATAATTTTTGTATTTTATTTTTAATTTTCTTTTGACGTTTTTCTTCAATTAAAAATTTATTTTCCTCATTTTTCAACATTTCCTCATTTTCTAAAAAAATATTTTTTTAATTTAAAAAATCTTAAAAACTTTTTTCCCAAGGGCAAATACCAAAATCAGAATTATTTTCATTTAAAATTCTTTTTACAATCGCTGTTGTAATATTTTGAGAAACTTGTTTAATTATTTTTGTTGAATTTATTTTAATTATTTCTCCACCTAAAAATTGAAAATTTAATTTTATTTAAGTGAAAAATAATTTCAGTTATTTTTGAGAAGACATATGTTAAGTTTGACTGACATAAAACTGACAATTGAACGTATTTTAATTCAATACACAAATGTACTAAGATCATTTGTGATTAGTGTTCGGCACGGTACGGTATACCGCGGTATTTTTCCCGGTATACCGCGGTATTTTTTTCCGGTATACCGATACCGTACCGGTCAAATTTTGAAAAAAACGGTATTTTTCGGTATCGGTATTTTTTCGGTATACCGATACCGATACCGTACCGGTCCTCGAAAAAATACCGCGGTATTTTCCGGTATTTCGGTATTTGTGAAATTCTCAAAATTTTCGCCTGCGGCGCTGAAAAAGGAAGAAATCTGTCTTCTGGTCTTCCAAAATTCTCAAAATTTTCGCCTGCGGCGCTGAAAAAGGAAGAAATCTGTCTTCTGGTCTTCCAAAATTCTCAAAATTTTCGCCTGCGGCGCTGAAAAAGGAAGAAATCTGTCTTCTGGTCTTCCAAAATTCTCAAAATTTTCGCCTGCGGCGCTGAAAAAGGAAGAAATCTGTCTTCAGGTCTTCCAAAATTCTCAAAATTTTCGCCTGCAGCGCTGAAAAAGGATATATAGGGACATTCTATTAGAGGGGCATTGTATTTTTCATTTATCCTTCTGGGGCATTCTACTAAAGGAGGGTATTCTAATGGTGGGGGCATAGTAATTTTCAATCATCCTCCAGGGGACATACTATTAAAGCAGGTATTCTAATGGAGGGGGCATTGTATTTTTCAATTAGCTAAATGTCGAGCAATTGTTGGACATTTCGCTGATGTAAATCTTGCCTATGATCGATTAGAAGAAGCTCAAGTCCTTGAGATTGTTAAGATACATTGTTAAAATTTTAAAAATAAAATTTAAAAAATTTTATAAAATTTTTTAAAAAATACCGAATACCGGCCGGTATACCGAAAATTTTGAGACGGTATTTTCCGGTATCGGTATTTTTCCGGTATACCGATACCGATACCGTACCGGTCAATTTTTGTAAAAAACGGTATTTTTCGGTATCGGTATTTTTTCGGTATACCGATACCGAATACCGGAAAAGGTCATTTGCCGAACACTATTTGTGATTAGGCTGTCAAACAGGCCCGTAACCAGGAGGGCCACTTTTGGCCCCAAAATTTCGGCGCAGAAAAATTTTCCCCACTTGGTCCGCTCCGAAGAAAATCCTGGGGGTCACTTTAGTACGTGGGTCCCGGAGTTAATATACAAATGTTATACCATTCGAAAGAGCTAGTCGAGCTGAGTCGAATGACACCAGTTTTAGCCCGAGGAAAAATTTTTGGACCGAGATATAGGTCCCCGAAATTTGAAAAAGCATAGGGGGGACCAAGCACTTTTTTGGGGTGAAAAATTCGAAAATGCAAATGATACCTCATTCGAAAGAGCTCGACAAGCTGAGTCGAATGACACCAAAATCACCGTGATTGAACATGATTAGACAAAGTTATGATACAAAAAACCTAAACCTATGGGGCGTAGGCGAGGCGCTTGTGCAAAACCCCGCGCTTCGCGCGGGGTTTTGCGGCACGCGCCTCGCGGGGAGTCTACGGGCGCTGGGTCTGGGCTCGTAACATAAACCTATTCCTATCTCCCTTGCTCTGGACGTATTTGGGGTCTCCGTAGCAGCAAAAATCTCCACAGATGTCATAGGTAAGGAGCTAAAATAAAAGATCATAACTTTGTCCAATCAAGTCGGATTTCGTTGATTTTGGTGTCATTCGACTCAGCTCGAGGAGCTCTTTCGAATGAGGTATCATTTGCATTTTCGAATTTTTCACCCCAAAAAAGTGCTTGGTCCCCCCCAGGGCTGTGCGCCAAAATTTTCGCGTGGCGCGCCAAACGCCAAACGCCAATTTTTTAAATTTTAAAAACACGCCAAACGCCAAACGCCAAAAATCGGCCAAAATCAACGCCAAAACGCCAAACGCCAAACGCCAAAATTTTTAGAGTCTATAAAGACTTAAAAACCACTGTTCCTTTCATTTTAGCGCCGCAGGCGAAATTTTTTTAAATTTCAAGATTCCAGAAGCCAGAATTCATCCTTTTTTTGCCGCCGGAGCGAAATTTTTGAGAATTTTGGAGGCAAAGAAACCGAAATTCATCCTTTAAAAAATTTAAAAAAATAAAAAATTCATAGAACTCCTTGAGATTAAGGTGGATATGAAGGGATAAAGGGAGTAATGAGTATAACAGAGGTCATGAAGAGAGTAAACGATTGACGGAACTAAAGTTTTTTTCTACCATCTATTAGTTTAAAATCCTCCTTTAAGCGCCGCAGGCGAAAATTTTGAAAATTTTGGAAGTCCAAGCAGTAGATTTATTCATTTTTTATGCGCCGCAGGCGAAAATTTTGTAAATTTTGGATGACTGTACGCAGAAAAATTTCCTTTTTTGATAATCACTTTCTCAATTTATTTAAAAAAAATTCCATCATTAGGGGTGTATATTTTTGGCGTTTGGCGCGCCAAAATCGGAAAATCACGCCAAACGCAAAACGCCAAAAATCGGCCAAAATTAACGCCAAAACGCAAAACGCCAAACGCCATGACGCACAGCCCTGGTCCCCCCTATGCTTTTTCAAATTTCGGGGACCTATATCTCGGTCCAAAAATTTTTCCTCGGGCTAAAACTGGTGGCATTCGACTCTGCTCGACTAGCTCTTTCGAATGGTATAACATATGTATATTAACTCCGGGACCCACGTACTAAAGTACAGCCAAATCCTGGCTACGGGCCTGCTGTCGATCATTGGAAAATCCTCCTCGGATATCCAGAACCAACCAGAGAGACCCCGGCTCCGAAAAACCCCCTTTATGTCTCAAAAATTTAATCAAAATATTTATTTACCTTTATACAAAACAACAGAAGTAATTGGTTGAACAGATAAACCTGTAATAATATTTTGTTGATTTTCTTTATAATTAATTGAAAATGTTTCTTGATTTTGAATTTCTTTTTGTTTTTCAATTAAAAATTTATTTTCTTCCTTTTTAAGAATACTATCATCACAATTTGGAAAATAATAAAGAAAAGCAGAAAATATCAAAAGAGATACACATAAAAATGACAAAAAATAACTTCCTTTGGAAAAACTGGAAAAAGAAAAAAAAATTTTAGATGAAAATAAGAAGCTGGTAAAAGATTTTTCAAAATGTTGAAGCCCCATTTTGCCCCTTTTCTGCGAGTCCATGCCCCTTTTAAGGGATAAGTAAAGGCCCACCCTGGTAGAGCGAGATTTTCAAAAAAACCTTGACCAGATTCTTGACCTTTAGTCAAGGAAAAATCAAGGAACACTGAAAAATGCCTTGATCTGAACTCTGGATCCAGGAAGAATCAAGGTCTGGATCCAGATACAGACCGCTCTCTACCTGGTACGAAGGCTTAAAAACAGATTTACAAGATTAAGATATTTAAGGATCAACAAAATGAATTATAAAATAAACACAATATTTTTTCTCAATGGGCATTTCTAGATTTTAGCTAGACGAAAAAAGTCAATAAAAGTTTAAAAATTAGAGTAATTAATAATTAAAATACCCACCTAGCAAGTTTTTGTTCCGTTTTCGTAAAAATAGAAATATTCCCATTTGATGATAAAGGTGGAAAGGGACGACAAAAACGAGGATTCACATACTCGGTGCTGCCATCCTTTGTGTAAGAAAAAGAATCTGCATAAGAAAAGCCAGCAGTTCGGAATGGACTGAAAATTTAATTAAATTGTTTGAGGTATTTGAATTTAAAAATTTTTATTTTATTAAAAAAATTTCCCCATTCCTTCCTAATTTTTTGTTATCAAAGCAAAAAATATTCGAAATATAGTACTGGACCCAATTTACAGAAAAACAATTACTTTTCGATAATTTGACTCTTCTCCCTGTCAGATAATTGAGAAGATTCCAATGAACGTCTAGGACCATCATTTGGGTTTAGAGGAGGCATTAGAAACTAAAAATAAATTTAATTAAGTTGCTAAAACTATTACTGGAAACATAAAATGAATGGGAAAAACAAAGAATTCGGCCCTAGAAAACGGCGCGGCAAAAATTACGAAATGCCAAAGATTTAAATTAAACTTTTGAAAACAGACGTTTCATTGCCAATGCAATGCCAAACTTTTACTACGTTACACGGTCGCTGGCAAAACTGTTGAACAGTGACCGGGCCGGATTTTTCCGGAATCCGGCCCGGAAAAATCGATTTCACCGGGCACTACTGCTGAATTGGTTGTAAAGTTGGTTGCTTTTCGTGGTCAACATAGAACACCCAGAAATACCTTTTCCTAATTTAATAGAAGAACCACCCGCATGTCCCCAGTTACATTTCAATATTCAAAAATTCCACTAATTTAAGCTAATTTATTTTCAACAAAAGATAATACAAGAAAAAATCAGATTTGGTGTTTTGGCTTCACTCTCTTTTTTAATTTCTTACGCCACAAATTTCTAGGAATATCATTTTTTGAAGGCCCATCGAAATTCACAATTCCTTCCATTTTCATCTTTTCTTTATCATTTTTTCTTCTTTTATCAGTTTTATTTAATTTTTTGCCAGCACGCTTCCCTCTTGGTCTTCTTTTAATTTTTCCAGCAATTTTTGGGGCATTCTGATGGTCTTTTGTATTATCTTCTTCTAGATCAGATCCAATACTTTCAAGACCATCACATTCGTCATCTGTTGCACTTAACTAAATTTGTCAAAATTAATTTACTTGAATAAAATCCTCCATAGGTTATAGTTAAGTAAACAAGTTTTTCATTAAAGATTTTCACAATTTCATGAATTCATAAATTCCTTCGATAAATTCCAACCTGAAATTCAAAATCAGTAACTACACTCGATTCTCCATCATCAAAACCATCATCTTCCGTTTCACCCTCTTTGTTATCTTCATTTTTCTTCTTTTCATCATCTTCCTCCTTTTTCTCTCGTTTTGCAAGAATTGCTTTAATAATTTCCTTTTCGCCTGATAGATCTTTCCAATTCATTTCATCGTCCTCTTCCTTAACTTCCTCGTCCTTTAATTCAAAAATTTCTTCCTCATCAAGCATTTTTTCATCATCAGGTACACATTCAGAATCAGTCATTGCATCCACCTTCTCATCCTCTTCTACCAAATTTATTGGCCTCTAAAATTAAAATAAAATTTATTTAAACTAAATTTTAAAACTTTCAACCTCATCAGCCATTTGTCTGCCAATTTCTGAAGGAGTTACACTTTGCGATCTGCACCCAGGAGGAAGTACATAATGTGGTATATTACCTCTTTGATAATCATTTAGGACTTGACGCGCAACTGTGTTTAAATCTGGCTCTCCACCTTTTAATAGACGACCGGTAGCAAATGCAATCTAAAAATAATTTCAAAAACAAAAATTAAAGTATTTAAATTACCCTGCTTAAAAATTCTTCAGAATTTGTTAAGAACGTCCTCTTTTCCTTTTCTTCATTCCTTTCCTCTTCTTTGTTAAAAATATGTGCATAATGTTGCAATAAATGTTCAGGCTGAACTCTATCAATCACTGCAGCGATATGATTTTCTGGATCGGGAACATTTTCTACTCGAACAACCCCCTTTAACACCAAATCTGTTTCACTATCTCCATGTGGAGGATACACAACACCTGGGCAGTCAATTAGATAAATTCCTTTCATCATCGTCACGTATTGCCAAACTTTTGTTTCACCAGCAAGCGGTGCTGTTTTACAAACCTTTAAATAAATTAATTAAAGCAAGTTCTATAAAAAATTTTTTAAACTTTTTTATTTCGAAGAGTATTAACAACTGAAGACTTCCCAACATTCGGATAACCAATTAAGCCAATACTAATTTGTTTACGTTCTTTTCGATGTAATTTATAAAATTGTCTAAAATTTAAAAGCTAATTAATTATTCGACAAATATTTATTCGGAATAACCTCAACAAATTGATTAAAGAACCTTTGCCAAAACTATGTTGAATAGAAGCATGAAAAGCAATTGTAGGCATTTCTTTGGACAAAATTTGCATCCATTTCTTCTTTAAAATGTAGAAAAAAGTCTTTAATGGAAAAAAGTTACAAACCGTCACCCAATTAGGCACCAAATCAACTTTATTTAAAACAAGAACCAAATGCTTGTGGGGCTTCTCTTTGGAAAGAAATTGTTCTACTTGGCGACATCGAGTTCCTATGAAAAAAGTACTTTTAAAATTTTAATTTCTGTGGTTCTGTGCAAATTATGAATGGGAAAATTTAACTGGGAATGTGTTAAAATTAAAATACATTCTCAGTCCCTAAGATTCTTCAAATTTTAATTAAAAGATCAAAATTTGGCCAACCCATTGGATCGCGAGCATCCAGAACTTCTAAAAGAACGTCTGATGAGTCAATCACCTTCAAAAAAAATTTGATAAAATTCATGGCATTTTTAAACAAAACCTTATAAAGTTCACTCCAAACGCGAGCACTCTGTCCAGCTCTGAAAAGAGGGGTTGGATTTTCTGTTCGTTCCTCCACTGCTTTTGCTTGGTTTACAACCAAATATCTATCCTTTTCCTCCAAATAATCACCACTTTTAAGTTCAGCTTCTTCCCGAAACGCCTAAAATAAATAAAATTAAGGAAATGATGTATTTCTACCTCAAGATTGTCAACATTTAGAGTAGCTCTTTTTCTTTGTGCTTTCTTTCCGAAAGTATGTTCAAAACTTTGAGTGTCGAGGATGTGAACTCGTTGTTGCTTAAATTAAAGTAGTTTTTAAAAACTTTTCAACACTTCAAATTATAAAACCTTAGCCTTTTCTTGTAGCAAAGAAATTGGTGCCCGCGTTTGTTTCATCACAACTTGGAAAGGATCGAAGAGTACTTTACCCATTTCTTCTTGAAATTGTTGCAGCTGGTCCTGCCCAACTACACGAGTATTACCTGAAGAATTAATTGTTCAAATTTTATTTCCAAGACTTAAAAAAACTTACCAAACCAACGCCGATGAGGTTCAACACGAGCAACAGTTCCCGATTTTAAAGTTCCTTGAAAAGGTGCTTCCTTGGTTATTTTACCCTGCGCATTTCTAAAAATATAACAATATTCTTGAATTATTAGAACTTATCTCACCTTTTCGGTTTGAAGTTTTTATACATCCGAAGTCGATTAATGGTAGATTTTGAACGCATAGTTGGACCACTACCAATTGTCTTGCCCATTACTTTCCTTTCTGAATTTGTTAGATAACAAATTAAATTTTAATCTAAAATTTAACCTGGGTTAAGGCTGTGATTTGAACGAAGCTTTTTTCCATCACCATCTCCTTTTTTACGTTTAAATTTTGAATTAGAGTCATCCTTTCTTGTTTTGCTCATGATTACTTTTAATCTTATAAAAATTTTGGAATAAATAATAAAATATAAAAATAAATAAGGAAGTAAATAATCATTTCTAAAAACAATTTAAAAAGAGAAAAAACTTTTATCACGAAAATATAAATTTATAAAAAATATTTAGAAAAAATAAATTTAAACATTGCTATCTTCATTGTCGTCATCAAAGGGATTATTTGACTTTACTGGAGCATTTGCAGTAGGTTGTATATTAAAGGCACCACTAGCAATATATTCTGAGATTAAAGCCATTGCATCTGGACAGTTTTCTAACTGAAAATTGAATGAAAAAATTTAAGAATGGCAGCCGTGAAAGACGAAAATTTGTTTTGATCCTTTAAAATTTTAAAACTAACAAAATATAAAAATTAACCTCATTTTTAAATTGTTGATAAACTAATTGTTTTGGCTGTTTGACAGTAGATGTTCCTTGTTCTTTTGTGTTTTTTCTAGCAGAAACGGTACAAGCTGGGCACTGATCTGGTGAATTACCACTATAAGATTCAAAACAATTTGCATGATAAGAATGTCGACAAAGAAAGTGAATAGACGGCACTTGGAGTGGATTATTACAAACTGCACATTTACTTACTTGGAAAACCTGAACACTAAAAATTAAAAAAATTTAATAAAGAATTGATTTTGCTTCTCTTACTTATTCTCTAAATCATCAATTTCTGCATTCATTCCTTCCAAACGTTTTTGTTGTTCAGACAATTTGTTTTCTGATGTTTTGATCGCAGCATTCTGTCTTTCAAGCCAAGCAACTATATAGTCACGAATATCTCCAACTTGAAGTGAGTCATCCTTAGAAAGCATTTCAAGTACAACCAATGGATGAAGTAAATCAGATTGAGAAATTCTGGATAAATTAAGAAGAATAAAACGATTCAAATTTTTTAGATCCGGACATTAAGGCATTTCTGGCTTAAGGTCAAGAATCTTTTCCAATCTATAATCAGATCAGAGATTTTGCAAAATACATTCACTTTACTTTAAATCAAGACTTTCTAACCTTTTCAATAACGCAATCAAATCATCCTTTTTTGTTTTATTTGGACGGGCACAAACATGGCCAATTAAATCAATCCACATTTCTCGTAATGCCTTTTCTCCATAAAGTTCAATAACCTCAATAATATTGCCCTCGTTAAGTAAATAACGTAATAAATCCTCTTTCCTTTATGAAAAAATTGTTGAATTCTTAAAAATTATTCTTAAAATACCTATTCTGTAAGCGGAGAATATGCATAACAAGAGGAGGGCATTTATAACGCTTTTCCAAAAGCAAAGCTTGTTCAGAATTGTCAGGTCCTATTAATTGTAATATCTCATCAACATCTTCTTTTGAATAATCCTGAATTAAAAAATAAATAAAAAGGAAGAAATCCTTCAGTCGTGCACCCCACTGTATACCAAGCTTATAAATTCATTATTAAAATTTTTTAAGCGGAGAACTCTTAATAAATTAATTTTTAATATAGACTTACCTCTCCACTTTCAAAACGCTTTAAACGTTGTTCGAGTAAAGCATTTCGAAGATGTACATCTTGTAATTGACCAGAAATGTTTAATTCAGTAAATATCTCTTCCATTCTTGAAGGTCTACCCATTAACATTTTTACAAGTTGGCTATGATTTGCCTCTTAAATTTATTGAATTATTTTTAAAATTTCTGAAAAAAACCTTTCGCAGCAATTAACTTTCTAATTATTTTAATTGTCTCATCTTCAATATTTTCCAACAATAAAGATCCATATAATTGAAGAAAATTACAGGCACTAGAAGCTGGCAATTTTTCTATAAAACGTAATGCCTCCGCAAATTCTTTCGTATCTTGAGTTAAGATATCGATAAAAATATCAGGTTTTTGACATTTTAATGCCAATTTAGCAGCAACACGATAAAGTTGGGCAGAACGGAGAAGCTTTAAAAATATTTAACTAAAAAATATTTTTAAATTAAAACTTTAATTGCTGCATCTGCATCAAAACCTTCTTTTACTAAATAATGTTCATTTTGATCAATAAATTGATTTAATTTTTGGACAGAATTAAGTTTGACATAAGCACTAATTAAAAGTGTTGTGTGTTCCCCGATAGCAATCGACTGGTTATGTAAAGTTTCCAAATAAAAACAAAGCTGGGATATTCTTGTTCCATCGAGAAACTGAAAGAAAAAGAAAAAGTTCATAAAAAAGATTGTTAAAAAGTAAACACTTTTTTAATAATTTTAGATGGCTCTACATGTCCAATCGTTTCTGTGTATTGTTTCATTGCATTATCAAAGTCACCCTTGCTTAAATAATTTTTGTAAAATGCAGGGTAAACCATAAACTCACGTATATAAATAATCTCCATATTTCATATAAATACTCTTGCACTGATCAACTGTAGTAAATCGACTTTGTCGTACAATGCTAAATTTTAATTTTTTAAATGTTTAATATTTCGAGAAATTAATTTTTAAATAAAATTGGTGGAAAGGGAGATAGAGGTCCTCGAAGAAAAAAGAGTGGGTAGAATAAATAGTCTGAACAAGAAAATTAAAATTAGAACCTAATTGCCAAATCAAATAAATTCTTCTTTAGCAAGATTTCCAATTTTGTGTTCAAGTTTTCTTCAACTAATCTACACAAAACTCCTTCAGAATTCAATAAATAAATGTCGCTGTCCAACAAAAATAGATGGCAAGGGGAAGGCATTGAACAAAAGAAAGCAATATAACGTTGCTCAATATCGTAAATATTTAATAAAGTCATTTTTGAATTTCCTTTAGATCTGAAAATTAATTTAAAAAATATTTTCAAGTAAAATTATTAACAAACTGGATATGTGCATCTTGTTCAGTAAGTAATGCAACAAGTCCTTCACGTTGTAAAAGTTGAATTTTATCTTTACCTCTGCTTAATGCATGACATCTTCCATTTTCGGCACCCATTTCTAAGCAATCTTCCAAATTGTAAAAATAGACCATCTAAAATAAATTTTAAAAATTGGTAAATATAAAAACGAAGTTTTGAATTTAAAGAAGATAGATTATTAAAAGATAAATTGCATATGAAAACTAATTTATCTAAAAAATTCTTAAAATTCATTCAAAAATTAAAGGGGGATAAAATGTCTCTATTTATTCAAAAATGAGAAAGTGTGTACTGCTAGACTTAAAATTAATATTGGAAGAAAAATAGAAAAAAGAAAAAGGAAACCAATGATAGAATTGCAACTAAATTTCAGGAAAAGCATAGCTTTGATTTTTGGATTTGAACCAAAATTCAAATAATTATAATTGAAAATAATTTTAACAAACTTACATCTCTATTCGAAACAAGCAATTGATTATTTGAAGGAGAAAAGAACCAACAATTCCGTTCACAACCTTCAGCATCGTGAATGGCCTAATTTTTTTTTATTAAATTTATTTAAATTAAAAAAATTTACTGTTTGAAGTAAATTCCCATCAATTCCCAAAATATAAGAATTTAAAGACTTTTCAGTTATACACGTAATAATTGTACGATCTCTAATTGATGCTACGGCTATTCCAACTAAATGACCAGTTTTTAGAATATTTGATCCATCTCGAAGTGAACGAAATTTTGGTCGGTCTTTTTGCCAATCACCAAAAGCATAAAAAAGAGAAGAATTTGAGAGACCTTTAAATTTGAAAGAAAATTCTAGAAAAAATTTTTTAATTACCAACAACCAAAATTGATAAATTTTGACTAACAGCTACAACAGAAGCTTTGCTAGCATCTATTTTCCTGCCCAAATTCAAAGGAAAAGAATGTTTACATTTAGGGGCAACAGTTTCATTCCACTGACTTAAATCCCAAATCTTCAAAACTGGCATTCCTTGTGAGGAACTTGAAGTTGGAGAAAATGTGGAAAGATCATCTGCATCATCCTATTAAAAAATATTATTTTAATTTAAAAATAAAATTTTTAATTACTCCAATAGCAACAAGTAGATTCTTTGCCAATGCAAAATGAATAAGCCGTTGTTTAAAAACTTTAAAAAATCGAATGTCCAAACTTTTTTCTAATTGAAATACAGCTCCTTTTGGTTCGCCAAAAATAACATAACCATTTCCTGGTGCCCAACAAAGAATATCAATTCCCTAAACAAATTTAAAAAATTACAAAGGTAAAAAGGAAAAAAAACTTGAAGAAATGTAGCTTTTTTAGATGGGTCACTTGGATCACGAGCAGGTGTCAATGTAAAAAAATTGAAGGTTCGCCAACCAAGTTCCGCAAGTGATTGAGACATTGATTACACAAACAATAAATATTAAATTATCTGTATGTAGACATTTTATAATTTGAAATATTGCTAATAAAAGATTGATAAAAAACAACCAATTACTAAGAAATTCCAAATAAAAATTTTATTGAGAGTTAAATTTAAAAATAGTGAAGCAAAAAATAAAAAGTAATTATATGTATATTTAGCGTTCGATCCCCGGGGCAGGGAATTACCCCTTTTGTTGACATTTTGACCATAATTTTCTTTGGAACCCACAAAATTTTCGCCTGCGGCGCTAATAAGAGGAAGCGCTGATATAATAGGTGAGCCCAGACCGACCCTAGATTGGATTTGATTGATAAATTGCTGGCGTGAAAATATAGAAGGCCACGGATAAGAGGTACATCCTGATGCGAACTTTGCAACATTTCAAGATCGGAAAATATCCAAAATGTTGCAAAGTTCGCATCAGGATGTACCTCTTATCCGTGGCCTTCTATATTTTCACGTCAGCAATTTATCAACTTTCCAAAAAGGATTTGTAAGAGGTCTACTTAAAGTGCTATGCTGTGCAAAAAATTATAGTAAACTCGATAAAATGTTGGGAGAAGCGTCCTATGAAAAATCATTGGACAATTTGCTAAAGGAAGGATTCTTTTTCGGCATTTGAGTTTGGGTGCTTAACCTTTATCGTTAGGGTTTGTACAATTTAAAATCCGGAAGAATGTTTTTTAATCCTTTTTGATTTTAATGTTTTTTTTTAATTTTAGGAATTAGTTGCTGAGAGAATTAGTAAATTTAGTAAATAGGATCAAATCCAATCTAGGGTCGGTCTGGGCTCACCTATTATATCAGCGCTTCCTCTTATTAGCGCCGCAGGCGAAAATTTTGTGGGTTCCAAAGAAAATTATGGTCAAAATGTCAACAAAAGGGGTAATTCCCTGCCCCGGGGAACGGAGATCAAACGCTAAATATGTATAAATTATAATAAAAATGAAAGAAACAAAAGATACAATAAACACACAAATAATATAATTAATGTTTATAACCGTGTTAAACTTTCTTCTTCATTTTCAACAGCGGATAAATTGTTTTTTCTAGGCCAGAATACCCCCAACTTGGTTAATGATGAAGAGACACCAGCACTTAAAGCAGAATTTCCAGAGTTTTGAACGCCAAGTAGACGAGTGGCACTCCTAATATTAAAAAATTATTCCAAAAAAAATTAGAGGGTCGGAAAATTACCTTGTTTTTTGTTGTTGCCCAGAGGTTACAAATATCTCAGAACTGGAAACTGCTGCTGCACGCCACTTCATTCTTCGCCTTTTGTAATATAATTCACATAGTACAAGGCAGCAAACGATGCAGAAAAAGATCAAAATAATCACGATGATCAACAGTTGAAGATCCAAATTATGTAGCATTGCAAAATTGCATCGGCCGATTGTTGACGATAAGAAGAGAAAGGTTGAAGCACAAAATCAAAAGATTTGAAGTTGTATATACCCCCAACTTGGTTAATGATGAGTCTCGGCATTCGTTTTTATAGTAGAAAATATCTAGTAAAATAAAATTAATAACCACCAAAATAAAAATATGTACCATGAACAAAATACAGGGTGACAAAAAAGTAATTGGACACTTTTCTGCCCTTTATAACTTTTTTTGTTCGTAACATTTTTAGATGATTCCAAGTTTATTTTGTAGCTCATTTATTTCTCTATCATATTGTAGAATTAGAGATTTTTTGATTAAGGATTAAGAAAGTTATTTAATTTTAGGTACACCATATCAAAATTTTCCCCACAAAATTTTGATTTCTGTATCTCAGAAAGGAGAAGTCCAAACGGGATGATCTCAACAGAATTTAATTAAGACCATTAGCGAACCGGACAAATCTGAAAGATGAAAATCCAAACTCCTACATGGATGGCTCTGAGTAGATATAAATCAGTTTTGGGGGGAATGCGATTCTCTCATTTTGGGAGGGTTACGCGCAATCGAATATCTCTTTAGGCGTTAATCTAAAAAATTTTTTGCTTTATAATTTCTATAAATGAAAGACTGCTCTACATGCCAAAAAAATTTTGTGTAATTCCTCCAATCTGTTCTAATGTTATAGGCAAAATGCCTCAAAAAAAGGTGCGACCTGGAGCAATAATTTTTCTCACTTTCCTTTAACCTTATCTCAAAATAGAATAGGAATAATTCTAAAAGATTTTTATATCCTATTCTCCATTTAATTCTCTATAATTTCATCTTTATTTGATCTCATTATCTTTAATTTAAATAAAGTTATGGCAAAAATAAAGTGTCCAATTACTTTTTTGTCACCCTGTAAAAACAAAAAATAACATTTTGTCTCAATGCCCAATTGTTTACTGTCCATTTGTCGTTCAACATCGGTAGACCGTTCAACATCTTTGCGTTTATTTTGGTGGTCGACTTTTCGTCAATAGAATTTCCGTCAATGGACTTTTCGTCAATGAATTTGAAAAAAATTCGGTGTTTATTTTTCCGTGTTTTAACTGATTTTTCTGATTAAATTGTGATTATTTTTCTTTTTCAGAATTTAATTTTTATAAAGATGTCTACATCACTTTACAATTTCAAAAAGATTACAGTTGTTCCAACATCTGTGGTTTGTTTTTATTTTAATTATTAAATTTAATAATTAAAATTTAGAATTTGAAAGATGTTGTTCTTTCAAAAACTCAACGTAAAACTCCTACAGTTGTTCGAAGACATTGGCAAATTAGTCGAATAAGAGCTTTTTATGCGAGAAAAGTTAAATTTCTTCAACAAACACTTCATGACAAATTAACTATGATTTTGACGGAATTCCCGAAAATGGAAGATGTTCATCCATTTTATGCTGATTTAATGAATATTCTTTATGATAGAGATCACTACAAAATAGCTTTGGGTCAAATGAATACAGCTAGGCATTTAATTGATGGGGTTGCCAGAGAATATGTTAGATTATTAAAATATGCTGATTCTCTTTATCGATGTAAAACGCTTAAAAGAGCTGCTCTTGGACGTATGGTTAAGATTTTGAATAGGCAGAAAGCAAGTTTTGAATATTTGGAGCAAGTTCGCCAGCATTTAAGTCGTTTGCCCAGCATTGATCCAAATACGAGGTTTTTATTTTTAAAACTAGGGGGATAATATTCATGCTTTTTTCAGAACATTGATTCTTTGTGGTTTTCCAAATGTTGGCAAATCTTCATTTATTAATAAAGTTACTCGTGCCGATGTTGAAGTGCAGCCATATGCTTTTACTACCAAGTCTTTATATGTTGGTCATATGGATTATCGTTATTTGCGGTGGCAGGTATTTTCTTAACTTTTTGTAAATTCCATCTATTATTTTAAGGTAATTGACACGCCAGGTATTCTGGACCACCCGCTTGAGCAGAGAAATACAATTGAAATGCAAGCAGTTACAGCTCTTGGCCATTTAAAAGCTTCTATTCTTTATATAATGGATATTAGTGAACTTTGTGACCATTCAATTGGTAATTTTTACTTAACTCTACTTCCTTCGGACTTCTTTGCTTTGACAAAAAAATCACATAATTCCCTTTTAATTTTAAAAAACATTAAATTTTTATCAGTTTTAGTACTTTTGTTCTAATACTGTCTATCATTCTCATATATTTTTGTAATTTTTAGAGCAACAAATAAAACTGTTCGAAAGTATTCAACCTCTATTTGCTAACAAGCCTGTTTTTGTTGGACTTAATAAAATCGATGTTCTTCGACGAAAAGATTTGCCTGCTGAAACGGAAGCACTTTTGAAGAAATTCGAAAGTGACAACATTCCAATTGTTGAATTGAGCACATTAACTGAAGAGGGTGTTATTGAATTACGAGACAAGGTCTATTTTTTGAAGTTTTGAATTATACGGCGTCTTAAAAAAGTAAAGGACTCTTCGGCCTAGGCTCCTTTACTCTTTTCTTCAGTTCTAGTTTCTCCAGAGAGGAAGCAAGTTTGTATAAATTTCCTAAATTTTAGGCTTGTGATGCTTTGTTAGCCCAGCGTATTGAAAGAAAACTTCAAGCCAAAGGTAAAGAAGCAACTGGAGATGGGCATGTGCTCGGCCGTTTATTTGTTGCATATCCTGAGCCTCGTGATAACAAAAGTCGTGCACCATTTATCCCTGAAGGAGTTTTGAAGAAGCGAGCAGCAATGGATTTAGTAGAAGATGCAATGGATGAAGAAAAACCAAAGCGAAAATTGGAAAGGGAATTAGAGTTGGAACAAGGAAGAAATTATAAATTAGATTTAAAGAAGTATTATTTGTTGAAAAATGAAGACGAAAAATATGACAAAATTCCAGAGATTTGGGAGGGACACAACATTGCTGATTTTGTTGATCCACAAGTTGTTGAGGTTTTTTAATACTTTATGATATTAAAATAAAAATGTTTGGATATTGGCTTTATTAGACTCAAAAAAATTTTTTCCACTACCCTTACCAAAATGCAATAAATAATTTAATTTTTAATTTGACCCATAATTTAAGCAAATTTCATTTATAGAAACTCAAAAAACTTTTGGAAGAAGAAAAACGTCGTGAACAAGCAGGATTTTATGATGCTGATATGGATGAAGATGATGAGGAAACAAAACGCCTACTTTCCTTGGCTGAACAAATAACAGAAAAAGAAAAACTTCGTCGAATGGAATCACAATTTAATAAAGGTGTCAATCAGCCAAAGATTCCAAGAACCGCTGGAAGAAAGCGTGAAAGAAGTATGTCTAGATTGGAAAAAGAATTGGGTGATTTGGGAGTTAATATTGATTCAAAAAGAATGAAGAATTTGAATACTGAACAACAAAGAGAACATGTTGGTGGAAAGAAAATTCGTGTTGGGAGATCTCCTTCTGTTCCTGTGCCTGAACGAACGCCAAGAGATGTTAAGGGACTTCCAGATAGAAAGGTTTGAAGAATTTTTGAAAAAGATTTTTAATGAAAATATTTTTTAAGATTCGAATTAAAGCAAGGAAATTGGCAAGAGGTGGACTTAAAAAACTTGGTAGAGCAGCAAGAAAAGGAGAAGGGGATCGTCATGTTTATGATCTTAAACCGAAGCATTTGTTTAGTGGAAAGAGAAGTACTGGAAAGACAGACAGGCGTTGATTTTATTTTTAGTATGCAAGGAATTCTTTGTTATATACCGTATTTACTCTATTAGAGCCCCATGGGGCTCTATTTTTCAACCTTCCTCCAAACGGGGGCTATATTAAGGAGGGGGGCTCTAATAGAGACGGGGGGCTGTATTTTTCAACCTATTTTTAAAATAGGAACAGGTTTTTCATTCAATTTATAGACTTTCTAACTTTTAAAATCAATTGTAATTTTAGCACAAAAACAAGATAGGTATTGCATGATAATGCATGCAACAGTTTTCCTTTTCTCCAAAAGTTATAAAGCTAAGGTTTTATGTACTTTGGATAAAGGATAACATTCAATTAGTCCATTATTTTTGGAATTCCATTGTTGAGGAATGTGGAGTACGAAGTATATCTAGGAATTTGTGAGGACTGAAGGAAATAATGTAATCTGGAAGATCAGGGGCTTCAAGGATCAAGAGTGATATGAGTCATTTATTTTAATTTATTTATTATTAATTGGGTTAACAGGTTGGGAATTAATGAGTGATTAAATAATAAATTTTATATCAAAAGAAAGCCATCCATTATCTAAGCTTAACATTACGACTAACTTATCCTTGGGACAGCGATTGGAAAGTATTTGGTGAATATCAGGGAAAGAGCCGTCCCGATTTCGTTTCACGAAATCGGTAATTTTTCTCGTTCCTGGTGCCTACAAGTACGTCCTAAATGAATATGCAAAGGGAAATCACTTTTTCATTCATCAAAAGAGTTGTCCCAATACATCGAGTCTTATAGGGAAGAGCTCTCCCTATATTCCCCCATTGCGTACGATTTAACTATTTTTTATAAACTGTGTTATTCACACATGATTGAAACATGCGCGACTCTGACTATAACGAGGGACTGGGGAACGGGAACAACATTTTTGCTTAAATTATTTATTTTGACATTTGACAAAAAAAGGGGGGCTCTGTTAAAAAGGGGGGCTCTAATAGAGACGGGGGGCTCTATTTTTAAACCATCCTCGAAACGGGGGCTTTATTAAGGAGGGGGGCTCTAATTGAGAGGGGGGCTATAATAGAGTAAATACGGTAATTTAAATTTGTTGATTTAAAAATGAAAGTTTATTAAGAATAATTGAATTTTTTTATCTGATGATTAGATTCATTTTATATCTATTTTCCAAAGCTGATTTTTTTTGTTTTTATATTTTAAAGTTTTTAGGCAGCCTGGCTTGGGCGTACTCATTTTAAGTATAGAAAATTCTTTTTTGACAGATAATTTATTTTCTCTTCATTTTTCAAAAATTATTCTCCAGGATGAAATTAAAACGTTCTAAAACAAATAATTCAACAACAAATTTAAGCAAAGCATCTAATTCGAAGAAATCAGGCAATGAAGATTCAGTCAGTTCTAAAAGTACCCAAAAAGATAAATCTGCATTGCCAAAAAAATTATCAAAAAATGTTATACAAAAACCAACTATCGATGTCAGTTCGGCTACTTCTGGGGCCAAAAAGAGGAAGCGGCCGTGGAGACAAGCAGCTCGTCGCAAAGCAAAACGAGAACAATTAGGAGCACAAGTGTCTGAACTTTCTGTTGATGATACTTTAGAACAAGAAGGTTTGGAATAATTTAGTGAATTTGGTTAGGGATGAAAGAGGTTAGTTCTAACTCGTACGACAGAAAAGGCGTTTTAGTTTTGCAGACAAATATTTTTACCTGAAACAAAAATTTAGGTTTCTCAATCACCTTTATTTTTCTAGATTTTTCTGAAGACAACTCTCAATCAGAAGAACCACCACAACCAAGAAAAAAGAATAAAAGAAGTCGAGAAAAACGACTTAGAGACAAAAACAGAATTCTCGCAAAATGTTTCGATTCAAATAACAACAACGAACAGGAAGCGAAAGAAAAATTGCAACCCTCTAAAAGTCCAGATTCTCGTTTGGATGCTGCTCGCTTTCGTTATGTCAATGAACAGCTTTATACACATCCTTCTACAAGTGCTGTTCAACTTTTTAAAGAAGATCCGAATGCATTTGAAGCTTATCATAGAGGATATAAACAGCAGGTTATTAAATTAAAGGGGACTAATTGTAGGTTCAAGGGCGTTGCTAGAGGGTCGGTTTCAGGGGTTAACATAAATTTTTTTGAACCGTACTTTGTTCAGCGCTGCAGGCGAAAATTTTTTGAATTTGGACGGTCATAGGCGAAAAATTTCACTTTTATGCTCAATCTTCAAATTTTTCCCCTTTCCTCATTTCGGGGAGGGGGGCTTTAGCCCCAGAAGCCCCCCCCGGCTACACCCTTGGTAAGGTTGATTCGATCAGATATTAAATTCCATGTAATAATGACTTTAAAAACCTAAATTCCCTTTAAATTTAGCTAAAAAAGTGGCCGTTCAATCCATTAAACTCAATACTTCTCGACCTTTCTTCACTTCCTCCTGGTAGTGTTATTGCTGATTTGGGATGTGGTGAGGCAGAATTAGCCGAACGTTTAGGTTCAAAATATAAGGTGCATTCTTTTGATTTGGTTTCTTTAAATGAAAGGGTTGTTGTTGCTGATATGGCAAAAATTCCTTTGGCTAGGGAATCTGTTGATGTTTGCGTTTATTGTTTGTCTTTAATGGGAACAAATTTGGCTCATTTTTTTCGTGAAGCACACAGAGTTTTAAAAATGAAGTGAGTGATTTGTACAGGGTGCGCCATAAGTAACCGGACACTTGTTTTCTCTCATAACTTTATTAAAACACAATCAAATAAAATCGAAATACAATCAGATGATAGAGAATTAAATAAGGTACAATAATAATCAAGAAAATTCGAGATGCCCACCCTTGGCTTTGATACAGAGGCGAAGGCGCGAAGAAAAATTTTCGCAAATAGCACGCACCTCCTTGAGTGTAATTAAGTCCCACCCTCGGGTGAGAGAGTGACGCAGAAACTCCAAACTTTTATGAGGCATAGCACAGGCCCTGGACTCCAAAATAGACCAAAAAGAATTATCCATCGGGTTTAGATTCGGGGAGTTGGACGGCCATTACTGAACTCTAATGAACCCAGGAAAATTGGCCTTGCACCAGTCCTGAACTTCTTTCGCCTTGTGTGCCGGAGCAGAGTCCTGTTGGAAAATCCAGACTCTGCGACCGAAATGGCTCTTGAACCGAGGCTTCAGAACACGCTTAAAAAATTCTCGCAAGTAATAGTCTTTGTTGACTTTTACACCAAAATCCACGAAAATAAGGGGTTTTTTGCCTGACGCACAAATACCGGCCCAAACCTTGACAGATTTGGGATGTTTGGAATGTGTGATAAGCTTATCGGAAAGAGGAGATTCTGTAGTCCTAATTCTATCATTTTGATGGTTGTGAACGGATTTTATTGTAAAAATTTTTTTGTCTGTTAAAATAATGTCCGGACATGCGTGCCACTGTAGGAGCAGTTTGTATCTTGCAAGTCTAACTTTTTTGGTTTTTTTTTGTTAGCAGTTGTGCTTTTTGGATTTTGTAGGGTATTAACCCTAGTTTATTTTTAGCTATTCGTCTGACGGTCTTCTCACTTATTCCGGTGTCACGAGCCACTTTTCTTACGGAGGGTCGATAATTGAGGTGCACCCAGTTTTTGATCATTTTAATATTCTTGGAAGTGTTTACGGAACGAGGTCTTTTACTTTTTTGTAAGTTCTTAGTTGTGCCATGATTATCAAATTAATTTTAAAAAATTTTTCTCCCAAAAAATTTTCACCAGAATTTTTTGATTGTGTATTGTACAGTGCTATATGGGGCATTCAAAAGAGATGAAATTTTGCGGACTGAATTTTTTTGTAAAAAAAGTGAGATTATAGAATCACGTTGACTAGCCATAATAGAGAATTGAATGAGCTAAAAAATAAGCCTAAAATCAATTAAAAATATTGATAACAAAAAAAGTTATAAGGAATTTAAAAGTGTCCGGTTACTTATGGCGCACCCTGTATGTATTTTTCAAATAAATCAGAAAATTTTCAGTGGAAGAGTGAAAATTATTGAAGTTACTAGCCGATTCAAAAATATTAAAAAATTCATTGATGCACTTGGAAAAATGGGGTTTCAATTAAAGAGAAAGGTAATTGTTTCAATTTTAGAATTTTATTGACATTAAACAAATTTGCAGAAAGAATTAGACGGTAAATACTTTACTGCATTAACTCTTCAAAAGATTGGCAGATTTGTGAATAAACGACCGTTAGGTCTTCAATTAGATCCGTGCCTTTATAAGAAACGTTAATTGAGAGAAAAATTAATTTTGATTAAAGATTTTATTTAAAATATTATTTATGAACATTTTCATTAATTGTTAATAAATGGTTGTAGCAGACAAAATGTTTTAATACTAGGAGTAAAAAAGATAATCCCGCTATATAATGCGAGGATTAACGGGACTCCGCTCCAGAAAGTTTTCTAAAAAGGTTTTTTGATTTCTGGGACCGGACTTGAGATTTATATCGAGGCTTCTATTATCTTTAAAAAATTCTCGATACACATGGATTGAAGATAGCAAATGTTATCCCAATTCTACCCATCCAACAAGATTTTTTGCCCTTTCGGGCGTCCAAAAATTGCACAAGGCACTGCTTTCGCAGGCCAAGGCGGGCAATTGGTATAAGTTTTCAATCAGCAATAACAGCTCCTCGGCTAGGCCTCATTGGACGCTGTACTGCCCGAGCGCAAGGCTAAAGAGTCTGTGTTGTGTCAAAATAATATTGTTTTTAATTTTAAATATTTTCACTGGGTTGTGCGCAGACTTTTTCTGAATATAAATAAGACACACTATTTCTTTTTCTATATCTCTCTACTTTGTTTATTCAATATACTTTACTGCATTAATTTTATTCTCTGTAACGTTGTATTTTTCTTATCTCATTTTCTCTTAATAAATTCTACAAACGCACACGGACAAAATACCAATGTGACAAAATGGCAGAATGTCGTTTTTTGTGTCTTCTGTCACAAAATGACAGAAGACAAAATGACACAAACAGAAGTCCATATAACAGAAGGTCGTTATTGTTCTCATCTAGAGCTAGGAACGGGTCCGGGACCCGGACCCGTTTCCCGGTTTCCGGGTCCTTTTTCCCGGTTTTTTTGAAGCAACCGGGTTGAAACCGGGGACGGGTTTTCCCGGTTTCCCGACCCGGAACCCGGCCGGTTCATTTTTCAGAACCCGTTACCCGGACCCGGTCCCGGCCATTTTTATACCGGGAAACCGGGAAAAATATTTAGTATATTTGCATACTTTGATATTAAATTTTTGAAGGAAAAGGGAAAGTAATATTTATAATTTCCATTATTTACTTTCATTGGTCGATCAAGTTGACTGATTTCACTCATCTAGTCAATTTAATAGGGATGGGCTTCGAATCCATGTATGGAAATGGGCTGATAAAATTTTCTTGACAAAAAAAATTTTAAAACTTTGATTTTAATTTGCAAATTTATTTTTTTTTTGATGTCTTAAACTTGAAAAAATATTAGAAATTTTAATTTAATCATGAATTTTCCAAAATTTTCGCCTGCGCGCAGAAAATTTAAGAGTTCTGGCTTCATTACCATCTAAACATTACCATTTACTTGCACTAATAGAGGTTATTTAGAATAAGTATAGGAGGATAGTTGAAAAATACAGCCCCATGTGGAAAAATACAGCCCCATTTCAACAAATTAAAAATTACCCGGTTTCCCGGCCGGGACCCGCCCATTTCTAGACCGGGTTGAAACCGGGAACGGGTTTTCCCGGTTTCCCGGACCCGGAACCCGGCCGGTCCATTTTTCAGAACCCTTTACCCGGACCCGGTCCCGGTTTTTTCAAAATTCCTAGCTCTATTCTCATCCTTTTATTTTTTAATTTTTAATTTTTTATATCTTTTTTAAGAATTTACTATTTAATTTAATACTAATTAATGGACATTGATGAAGAAGAAGCAGTCTGGGATGTTGTTCGTGACCGAATTAATGTTGATATTGAATCTGGCGAATTTACAGCTTTGAGCAAGGCATTATTTATTTCCTTCCTTTATATAAATTCAAATACATTTTCAGACTAATTCTTCCAATTTTTCTTCCACAGCCTCTACATCCTTTAACACTTTGGAATTTGATGAGCAATCTGCATCTTCATCACAAAAACCGAAAAAAGGACGGCAGGTTGGGCGGAAACAAGTCGGCGTGAATGCGTATAATTTATTTTATTTTTAATCTCTAAAAAATATTTTTTGTAGAACACTGGATAGTTTATTGGGCCAGGCAAATTTAGAACAGGCTCGTGGTCGAACAAAACAAGCAATGTCTTATCTCTTTGAGGTAACTAAAAATTGTTTTATTTTAGTATAATTTAATTAAAAAGGCGATACGTATAGCTCCATATCATGTCCAAACTTACAAGGAAATTGCTGATATTTTTGCTGAACAAAATCAACCCGAAAAAAGTTTCGAATTCAAACTATTAGCTGCATTATTAACCGACAAAACAACAGCTCTAGAATGGGATGATATTGCAGAATTATCACGTTCATTTAATCGACTTGAGTTGGCTATTGCTTGTTTAGCTAAAGGTTTGATATTTTTACACAAGATTAGAACTATTTAAGGAAAAATTTATTTTTTTTTTGGGCTTTCTTTTTTTGACCCGCATATTTTTCGTTCCAAATATTTTAATGTTTTTTTCTTTTTTAGCCATTAAAAAAGACCAAGGGAATTGGCTTTATTATGAGAAAAGAATTCAAATACTCGATTCAATTGGTGACATTGAATTAGCAATGAAAACAAGACTTCAAGCAGCACAGTCTATTAATTGTCAAAATTCTCAAATAAATTTTGCTTGGATTGATAATCTTATTAAAACAGTTTTTTAATTTAAAATTATTTTTTAATTTAATTTTTAAGGCTGCTGACTATTTTTGCACGTTAAAAGATGAGGAGAAGGCAACAGAAGCATTGGAAACTTTTATTCTCCGAAGTAGAGAATTTGGTCGTTCTATAGATTTTGAACATTTGGCTTTATTGGGGTTTGTTTTAATTGATTTTTTTATAAATTTAAATTTTAGAATGTGGATGAATAATGAACGTTTTGAGGATTCTGCAAAGTCCATACTTGCTCTTCACCAAAATTTAATTCAAGCTATTGGTGAAAATAATTCTCCAGCAATTGATGTATGTATTTATATTTTTCTGATAAAAGTATGAATTGTAACGGTTAACCGTTGAAATGATTCACTCTCATATTTGTAAAAAAATTCGTTCAAAATGGTGTCCCGGACCAGGGTGTCCCGGATTCGACAATTCTGAACGAAGTTACAGCTCTGCGTTAAGTTGGTCATGCTCCCGAGGGAGATATCATACCAGTGTCAAAATATCAACTCTTAACTATAACTGCATAATATTTCTTAATTCCGATTACCCAATATTTGCTGACGGACTTTTCACCCGCAAATAAATTTAATTTTAAAAAATAATTTGTTAAATTTTTATTCTCTTTTAATTTTTTTTTGAAAATTATATTAAAAAATATTTACAAACTTTTTAGATAAAAATAACAAATGCTGGTTATATGCTTGAACCATTCCCTCCTGTTGGTAATATTCGTTGGCGTATAGATCCAGCTTTATCAAATATATTTATTACTCATTTAATTATTTGTTTTATTCATTTAAATCTCTTCCATTTTAATTCTGATTTAATTGATTTACTTTTGGAACGACCCTTTGGACAGAATGAAGATAATGCTTATTTAGAAATTGCAAGGTCATTACATGCTGTTGATCAAGTTGGAATGGCTGTTGGATTTATTGATAAACTTTGGAATAAAAAGCCTGAATTTAAAGAGAATGCTGATGCTTGGTTTTTATTTGGTTATTTCCAACAGGTTTATTTTAAATATTTTTCTGATTAAGGCTATATTTAATTTGAGTGTTTCGGGGTTCTTTTTTTATTTTAATAAAAAATTATATTGTTTTTTAATATTTAGTTGTTAGATAATTTTGAAGATGCAAAGAATGCTTATGAGAAAGTTATAATTTTACAACCTGGACATATTGATGCTTGTATAAATTTATCAACAATACTTCAACAAATAGGACAGAGTGATTTGGCATTGGAGACGCTGAAAGATTTAAATTTGGATTCCTGTTCTCAACTTCCAGTAATTATATATCTTTAAGAAACTAAATTTAGGGGTTGAGGTGTGAGAGTATTTTATAAGCGAAAGTTTATTTGTTTATTTGGGAGGGGTTTGTTTAAGTGAGGGAAGCTGAAAAATCACCATAATTTAAATTTAAAAAAATTATTTAAATTTAGGAAGAGCGTTTATTAATTAGACAAGCAGAAGTACTTTTAGCACAAAATAAAACACTTCAATATATTACTACTCTTCGACTTTTACTTGTTCCACATTTTTATGATGTTCATTTATCTGGGGATGAATTAATAAAGAAAGGAAGAAGAAAAACCGGTTGAAATTAAAAATAGAATTGAATTAATAATTTTATTTTTTAAGTTAAAATTCTACATATGAGTTTAACTAGATGTGCTATGGATACAATTAGAGGAAGTCCTTTAGAGAGAATGGTTAAACGACTGGGCGCTATTGCTATTGCAAATCATAGACCAATGGATAATTTGGGCCCTCATGAGGTTAAATCTTGATATAATTAATTTTCCTAAATTAAAATGATACAAGTGAGGAATTTTTGAGTTAGTGGTTTGTTTTAAATCGTCGCGTTTTAAATTTTCATCTATTCTCTAGTTCATAGCTTTTCTACTTTTTGAGCACTATTAAATATGTATTTGACATTTAATACATATTTTATTCCCATATTATTTTCACTTTTCTTTTTGTTTAACTCAATTTTAATTTACTTTACTTTTTATTTTAAGTTACACGACTATGCATTTAAACTCGCCGAAACACTTTATCTTGCTGGTGAATATGAAGAAATGCTTTGTGTTGTTTGTTATGCTTTTGTCCAACCAAAAATTGCTAGTTTAAAGTATTTTAAAGTAATTTTTGATAATTTATTTTTAATTTCCAGCTCAAAAATGTTCACTTCTCTATTATTTTTTGCCAGTATTAAAGCTAGAGATTATACTTTAGCTTTTGATTTTTTGCGTTTTTATATGACTTTTACTTTGGTAAATAATTTAAAAAATTAATTCTTTTAAGTAGTTTAAAATTTTAAAGCCAAGAATTACAAAAGGTCGAGAATCAACAGAATCTGCTTCAGCACAGGCATTACTTCCACAATCCCATCTTCCAACAGAAAATTTAAATTATGTTTATGCAGCAATGAATTTTATCCTTTGTCAACATCAAAGTAAGGGAAATTTTAAAAGTTTTTGGATATTATCCTTATTCTCTTAAAGGTGTCAACTATCACCGTTTTATTATGCGACAACTAGTCAAATTACCTGATTGTGATTCTTTACATATTATTTCTGGGAATAATTCAATGGTTACTGGCTCATATAGACACGCTCTTGGTTGAGAGATAATTTTTTATTTTTTGAAAATTAATTTTTTTAAGGTGAATATTTTATGGTTTGGTTAAAGCATCAAGACAATCCTTTATTGGCTTTTTTGATTGCTTTATCTTTTGCTCATATTTCTTGTAAGAAGGACATTTCTTCACGGCATGTTGTTGGACTTAGGGTGACTTTTTATTAAAAAATTTCAAAAAAAAATTTTTAAAAAAATTCTAGGCCTTAGCTTTTATGAGCAAATATTCAAATCTTCGTTCGCCTTTTCTTTCTCAAGAAATTGAATATAATATGGGAAGACTTTTTCATCAAATGGGCATTTTATCAAATGCAATTCGATGCTATGAAAGAGTTTTGTATGAATGTCCACCACCAATGATCTTGACCGAGGGCCCTCAGGGAGAAAGAAGAGAAGAATTGGCAATGAAGTGAGTGTTTAATATTTATTTGGATGGGTTTTGGAAAATTTAAAAATGAATTTTTTGGATAATTGTTGAATTTGTTTTGTGGGTGGTTTTCTAATTTGCTTAATTAGATCTTAGTTTCACTGCACTATTTTAGTGGATTTTTAAATGTTTTAGATTAAATTTTCTTTTATCTTATCCACCCTCTTCTCTTACATTTTTATAAAGAAAAATAATTTTTTAGGTATGATTTGAGGCGGCAAGCATCATATAATCTCTCATTAATTTATGAATCAGCCGGTAATCGTATAATGGCTAGACACATTCTTGAAGAATTTTGCACAATTTAATTTAAAATTATTTTGTTTTTATTTTTTGTTAATTTAATTATGTTAATTTTTTTGTTTTTAGCAATATAAATTTTTAAATTTATCCTTACAGTATTTTTTAGAATGAGACTTGTTTTTATAAATGCTACTGCCACACAGAGTGTTATAGAAATAATATTCAATCATTCTGCTAAGTTTTAAAGTTAGAAAATTTTTTTATTTTCCCCAACATTACTTCACAATTTATCTTATTTTAATTAAAGTCGGTTGTCAATGTTCTGGCAAAAATACTTTTTATTTTCTCTAACTACAAATCCTCTTCCCCCTTTATTTTTTTTAATTTGCATTAACACAACAAAAAATTTTTTTGTAAAAATTCGTTTATTTATTTTCTCAATGGTTTGGTCAAACTATTTTTTAACCGATTTGTCCCCGATCCTTTCATTTGATTAGAGAATATTTAAAAACAATTTTACACACAATTTTTTACCTACTTTTACAAGGGAAGGGGGGGGGGGGGTGAGGGGGTAATTCTATTTTTATTTTTTTATTCTTTCATCTCTTTCAATTTTTTTTTGTTTTTCCGACAAAATGGACAGAATTAAGCTTAAAAAAGCCAGGCAGGCCTTTCACTGATTCAATCACTAATACAAAAATATATAGGGGAAAATGAAGAGCGTGAATATAAAAATATGTGAGTAATTGTGTTGAATAAATTTATTTTTCTCCTTTTTTTCTAAAAACATCCATCCCCTTCACTTTGGCAAAAATATTTTTTATTGTAAAAAGGCGGGGCAGATTACTATTATAGCAATAATTGCAGCTGTGGTTTAGTGAATAGACAATAAATAAATTTATTTGAAAAGTTAAAAACAAAACTTTTGTTTTTAAATTTATTTTGATTAAAATAAAATAAAAATTAATTTTTAATTATTAAATTCTCAAGAAAATATTTTTTATTTGAAATTGTTTTAAATTCAAGGCCCTTTTTTCGGTTTTTAAGTTTGACATTTCTCTGATTTTTTTTGAATTAAACTTACAAGGAGAGGTTGCGAGATATCTTGGCCAGATCAAAAAAGGCAAAAACGGCTCAAAATCTTTGCTAGAAATGGCACATTCTCTATCGAATGAGCCCGGTCTCGACCGTTTTTAGGTCGGGCACCTCTCAACCTCTCCTTGTTAAAACATTTAATTATTATCAAATTAATTTTAACATTATTTATTTTTCTAAATATTTTTTATCTAAACATTTATTTTTAATAAATATTTTTCTTTCAATTTCTGTTCTTCTGTCGGCATTTTTCTTTAGTTTTTTTATTTTTGATTTCTTTCAACTTTCCCTTTAAGTACTCCTACATTTAATATACTAATCTTTTTTTCACAGATGTGTTCATTCATTTATTTACATAAATATGCCAAAAACTCTTTTTTTATTTCATTCCCTCCTTATTTAAATATAATTTTATCAGTTAATTTCCCAGAACATAAAATATTTTTTTTGATCAGAACAGAAGCAAAACACATAAAAAATAAATAAAAATAGCAACTATTCCCGCAATTAAAAATAATTTTGGTTAATTAATAATTAAATTTTTCTGTACTATAGCCTCCCTCTGAATTATAGCCCCCTCTTTAATAAAGCCCCCTTTGGAGGATGGTTGAAATATAGAGCCCCATGAGCCTCTATTACAGAAAATACGCTATAGAAGTAATAAATACGCTAAAGAATAATACGCTAACTAAGCTAATACATATATTTAGGTTATAAAAATATGTATTTATTTGTTTAAATTCAAGTCTTTCTTTTTTCTAATAAAAATTTAAAATTCTTTGTGTTTTCTAAAAATTAAGGATAATATTTAGCTATTAATTTACCTATATGTATATTATTTTAACACATTTAAAAGGAATTAAAAGGATTATTAATACGGGAGAACCAAAAATTAAAAAATAAATATTTTTCTCCTTTTCCTGTCCAATATCTTTAAATACATCCTCTATCCAATCTTTATTCTTTATTATAAATCTTGCCTTAAACTTTTCTTGAGACTTTTTATGTTTGTTTTGGGAAACCCTTGGGTATTGAAACTTTTCAATTTGAACGAGAAAAAAGAATGAAAGATTCTTCTACAATTGTCTTTATTAATTTTTAAGTATTTTTTTAATTTTTAATTTAATTTTTAATTTATTTTTTTATTAGATTTACTAAAAATATTTTTCTTTAATTTTCCTTCTTTCGCCCAAAATTTATTTTTTCCCTAAAATTTAAATGATTTATTTACAACTTTTGTCCAAAATAATATTTATTTTTATCTTCTTTTTAACTTCTGGCATTCAATCTGATTCTGTTGTTCCCTTAAACGATTTGTCAAATGAATACTTAAATGAGGATGTTAATTGTAGTAATAATAATGTAAGTCTAAAAAATTATTTTTTTTGAATTTTGATAAAAAAATTCTTTCGAACTTTAATTGTAAATAAAACAAAAAATAAAGAAAACAAGATAAATAAACGAGGATTATATGTAAGGTTTAAGGTTGGCGGTTCCGTGTATCCGGAACCGAAAAAACCTCGGATATCCGGAAATTTTCGGTTCGGATACCGATTCCGGATATCCGGAGATTTCCCAGGAACTGTCATCCTTAGTAGAGTTGTCGGTTCTTGGAAATTATTCGGATACAGACAACCCTAATTATATGTATCAATTTTAAATTACCCCTTCCTTACTTCTCTTTTTGTCCTACAAAAAATTCTCCTTACATCATTTTTAGTGACAGAGGGTTAAAATAAAATATTAAAATTTAAAAAGCTCGAAAAATCTTTTTTTTTAATTTTATTTACAAAAAAAAACAAAATTAATTTTAAAAATTATTTAATTTTAGATTTTCAATTATTTTTGGACTTTAAGTGGAAATGGAAGAAACAGTAGTGTTTCACACATTTTTGGTATATTTAAATTAAATTTACCTATTTTAAATTTAAAGGGACATTAAAAAGTTTAACAATAAATGAAGAATTACCAAAAGAATTGTGGAAAGAATTAAATAATTCTGAAATTATTTTATTAGAAACTAATTATAATGCAAAACAAGCAGCTTGGAAAGAATGTTTTAAAAAATTAAAAGAAAAAGAAATTCCGTTTGGAAAGAAAATTGAGGAAAAACTTCAAAATTGTAAAAATAAAAAAATATTTTTTTTATTTTTTTAAAAATTTTTAATGACAAAAAAATTATACGACCGCAAACAGTGCCAGAGGACTTCGAAAATCTATAACTTTTCGATGCTTGATCCAATACAAAGGATTTTTATATCATTTGAAAGCCCTCGATAAGCTCTATCTTTCTTTTTCACCACTTGTTGGTCATGTCTGATCACCAGTTAAAAAGTTATAACCCGATAACTGAAAACATCAAATAACATCAAGTTAATTTATTAAATTAGGTATATCCTATTAGAGAAAAGATAGAGCTTATCGAAGGCTTTCGAATGATATAAAATTCATTTGTCAAAAAGTTATAGCTTTTTAAAGGCCGCTGGCACTTAATTTTCGGTCGTATAACGGAAAAGTACCCAAAATTTTTTTAAAATTAATTTATTTTTAAAGATTACAATAACCATCAACGTTTTGGCCTTCTAAATTATTTTAATTGGAAAGACCTTCCTGCACAATGGCTATTTCAAGGATTGGTTGATTTAAGAGCTGAATTGGTAAAATAAATTAATTTAAATTTAAAAAATTAATTTTTTAAAGGAAAAAAGAGCAACAAATAATGAATTTAAAAATAAAAAAATTACAAAAGAAATTGAGGAAATAGGGAATAAATATCAAAAAACGATTATTTATTTAACTAATTTAACTAATGATTTGTGTGATTATTATCCTTCTTTGGCTGCTGATGGAAATGTGGTAAATAAATATTTTAAATTTTAATTTAAAATATAATTTGAATGATTATTTTAACAGACTTGAATGAATCAAATAATATTTATGATTTATTTTAAAGGGTACAGTCCAAAAAGGGCGAGTAGACATAACGACGCAAAGCCATACCTTGCTGAAATATTTCTGTCCCTTATAAATTTCTGAATCAATCTCTTTAGCTCGATGAGAGGAATCGTTTAATGCTTAATTAGGTAAGATTCGGAAAACTTGAAGCAAGTTATGGATTTGCGCCTTTATGGGGGATGTACCCTTATAGGGGGCTGTACCCTTTAAAATGTATTAAAAGAATTTCGAGAAATATTCCCTTAGAGCTCCAAAAAATTATTTTATTTTTTATTTAAAATTTAATTATCATCAGTATTCTTAAGTAATCAAAGAATTTCACTTAATTATTGAAATTATTAGGGCCAAAAATAAATATTAAAAATTCCAAAAAACCCTCCCTCTCTCTACCTTTCAATATTTTAGATGGAATTTGTTCTAGATAAATTATTAAAAGAAATTGAGGAAATAACAAATAAAAAAATAATTGGAGGTTCTTGGCAAAGGGCAATTAAAAAATATAAATGTGGGGAATTTGAAAGAACGGATGATTTAATTGGAGAAGAAAATATTTTGAATGAATTTTTTGATCAAATTGATTTGGATAATTTTAGAAGGGTTAGTGGATGTGGAATAAATAAATAAATATTTATTTTAATTTATATAGACAATTAATTTATTAAACAAAGATCTTGCCAAACATCGTCAACGAATTGCTACAAAAATTGTTAAATATTTAGAGGAAAATCCAGGAAAGAAATTATTTGTTGTTGTTAGTGCTGGTAAATTATATTAAAATAAAATAATTAAAAATATTTGAGGGATAAATAAGGGATTAATATTTTGTGAGGACTTTTTTGCAATGTTTAACATAATTATCGGTGACCGGTAAAATCGATTTTTCTGGAACTGGATTCCGGATCCGGCCGGATTTCTCCAGATTAATCTGGTCAGGTTGCAATCCGGAAATTAAAAATACCCGGATTTGGAGCCCGGACTCCGGAAAAATCTGCCGGATACGGTCCGGCTCCGGTCACTAATAATTATAAGAATATATTTTTGACTTTATCTCGAAATCTTCTTCAATCTCAAATTTAAATAAAAACTCTTCAAAACGCTCAATTCAGAACTAAATTTATTTTATGAATTTTTTTTCCTAAAATTATTTCTAAATTTTAATTTTTATTTTAAAAATATTTTTTTGTAAACATTTAACAAAAATTTAGAAATTTTATTTAAATTTTCTTAATTAAAAATATTTTTTAGGCCATTTGGTCGGAGATGACAGTTTAATTAAAATTTTGGCTGAACAAGGATTTAATTTAAAGCAATATTCTCCTTCAGAAAATCCCTCAGAATTTATTCAAAATTTCCCAGAATTTACCAAAAAAGAGGAAGAAAATAATGAATTTATTTTAAAAACAAGGACAACAAATAAAATTCCAAATATAGTCTTTGCCGCTGCTTTACAAGGAAATCCTCCTTCTTATTATGAAAATAGAAATATTAGAGAAGAAAAAAATAGAGAAAATGAGGAAAATAAAAATTTAGATGAAGATAAATTAATTGAATTAAATAATGGAGAGGATGGGGATTTGTTGTTAACAACTACAAAAATAATTCCTTTAATTAAAAATAATATGACAGAAGAAAATAAGAATTTCAGTACTTTTATTTCTTCTAATCGTCACAGCAAAAAATCGTTAGATTTTTAATTTAATTTATTTAAATTTCTAAAAGTTTTTCAAAATTTACAGAGTTATGTATATTTTTTAACGTTAAATTGGTTGCTGTATTTAACAGAGATGGGTCGGGTTAACCGAAACCCGATAACCGGTCTTCTTTTTGATCCGAAACCCGTTCCGAAGAATATTTTGAAAACCCGAAACCCGACCTGACTTGTTTCTCAACCGGACCCATCCCGGGTATTTAATATAAAATACAACAAAAATAAGGACAAATTCTCTCTTAAAATATTCCAAAACCTCCCCTTATTTTTCTCTCTCTCTATAATTAAATTTAAAATATTATTTTTTAGTTATTTTTGGATTTATTTTACTTCAATTTTGTCAATAATTTTAATAATCCTTATTCTTTGTTGGTATATTTACAATAAACATTCTGGTTATCTTAAACCGCCACATCTTCCATTTATTAATGACAAAACTAATTGTTGTCAACAACAAAGTAGTAATATTTCTGTTGCTAAAGGATTGCCTGAACTTAAAAATAATGTAAATGGAAATTAATTTTTAAAAAAATTAAATTATTTTGATGAGTAAAATCCTTTGGATGGATGCACACTGATTTAATTGTGTTTTTAGATACATACCCGAATCAAATTTTATTTTCTAAACTTAATTGGAAAAAAGCTTGAATAAAATCTCTAAAACAAATCACAACATTTTAATTCAAAAATTTTTGTAAAAATGTTAGAAATGAATCCATTCTCTTGTTATTTTACTACAATAATTAATTAATTTTTATTTTAGTCCCAACAACAACAACAACAACAACAAATCTGGTCTACTACTACTCCAAAACCAACAATATCTTCTCCACAATATTCACAACAACAACAACAAAATATATTTCCTTTAAATACATCCCCACCAAAATCAGCAACTTCCTTTTCTGAAGCATCAAACGCAACTGGAGAAACTTCTTTTAATATTTGTGAAAATGAGGGGGGAGAAAATATTAAAAATGTGGAAGAGGAAATTAAAAATAATGATTCTTGGGAGAATAAAAATGAGAATTCTTCTCCTTTAGTAAATCTTATAATCAAAAATATAAGTGGATCCCTCGAGCCGTTTTGCTGTCGTTAGGGAGGGAATTGACTTGGGAAGGGACGTAGAATTTTAATAAAATCTGTAAAATATAATTATTTTATTTTTTTAGAATCCAACTATAACAACAACACCTTTAGTTGATGGACAATATCGTTCTACTAGCTCTCTTGCTTTGTCTCTTAATCAATCACGAATGGAGATTAATGATAAAAATCAGGTAAATAGTTAAATGTTTTTATTTTCTCTTTTTTTTCGAAAAGCTTGATTTTTTTAATTTTTGATCTTTTATCCCCTTTAATTTAATTCAAACTTTTTAAATAATTAAAGTTAATTAATTTATAAATTTTCAGAAACTTCCTCAAGAGCCATTAAAGTCCCCTCCTTTCCCCCCTCCTCCCCCTTCACAACAACAACATTCAACTCTCCCAACAATTCCAGAATCAAAAAGATTAGCCCCTCCACCCCCAACTGATTCAGTTATTAAACATAAAAAATTGGCTTCTTTGGACGAAAATGATGAGAAAATTGTTGAGAATTTGGTAAATTCTTTTTTCTGATAATTATTTTTAAATAAAAATATTTAAAAGGATTTCAATTCCCCAACAAATTATTTTAATAATTCAAAAATAACTGAAGAATTATTACCTTCAGAAAATCAACAACAACAAATTTATAATAATTTAAATAAAAATGAATATAATGGAAGTAATTTCAATTATCCACCTTTAATTAATAATAAAGAAATACAGGTAAATTTATTAGGGGGATTAACAAAATTAATTTTTAAAACTATTTTTAAGCAATCAGAAATATATTTACCCGAAGAGGACAATCAAAATAGCCAACAACAATCTTCTTCAAATTCCTTCCCTTTCACAGAAGTAATTAATAATTTAAATGAAGAAGTAGTGAAAAATGATGAGAAATAAGAAAAAAAATAATTTTATTTTTTTTAAAATTTTTTTTAAATAATTTGCCTTCCCTAACTTTCTAAATTTATCCAAAATATTTTTAAAATTCCAATATTTTCTTTACTATAATTTATATATATTTTTAACACCAAACCTCACAATATCACAAATTTAATTTAAAATTATTTTTTTATTACCACAAATAAATTTTTTTAAATTTATTTTTATCTCAATTAAATTTATTTATAACACAAATCATAATTTGATTATTTAATTTAAAGAAATATTAAATTGAAAATAAGCTTCTCCCTTAGTAATGATAAATTTTGTAATTTTTAAATCAAAATTCTGTAATTTTTTGCGAAATACTACCTGTATTAATTAATCCCTAAAATAATTACCTTTTAAATTAATTACCACATCCAGCCATGGATTAGAATAATCCCCCCCCCCGGATCTCAAACACCTACTTTAAAAACCCTAAAACACGTTAAAATTTCAAACCTCATATAATTACCCTCTCTCGATTAATTACTTCCTCCATCAGAAACCCAGGGTAGTTAATAAAAGTTTTATGGTATTTACGAGTTGAGCAAAAGAATAGATTTAATGAATATTAATTCGAACAAAATTCAAATTTCTAAAAATAAGTGAATAATTTAGAAAAAGCCTTGAGAAACTATTTGGATTTTTTAAATTCCAACATAATATTTTAATTCAAAAGAAATCTTGATTAAAAAAAGTTTTTTTAACTAAAAAGAAAAATAAACAATTAAATATTTACATATATCTTCTTTCAAGTAAAAATTAACATTTTTAGTAATTTCCTTCTAATTTTCTATTTTTAATTAAATTTTATTTCTATTTATTTAATTATTTATATTTATTTAAGTAATTTTTAAAAAAATTTTTAAATAAATTTTTTTCCGATTAATCAATAAGGTCAATATCGCCTTTAAAATTAAAATTGTCTAATTAAAGTCCACGACTAATTTTTTATCCTTCCCTTCCCTTCCCTTTCTTTAATTTTTTTACTTAATTTTTTTCTCTTGCCATTCCTCTTTAATTAAGAAGGAAATAAAATTTTCCTTAACTAAATTTACTTGGCTAATTTACTTAACTAAAAATATAAAATTAATTTCTACTTTAGGGCCCTACTTTCTTCTAACTTTAGGACATGCTTCCCATAAACTTTTAGGCGTCCCAAAAGTTTATTCATTAAAGCATCGTTATAACCAATGTTATACATATATCAAAACTTTGTTTATTAATGGCTTAAAATAAAAATAAAGGACAAAATATTTTCTTCTAAAAAATTTTCAATATTTTTATTTATATATTTGTTTATTTATTTTCTTATAGAAAATGAAAAATCCCCAATTTTTATATTTAATTTTGTTAATATTTTCAATTAAAATATCTTTAAAATATTCTTGTCATTCGACGGAGAATAGTAGTAAAATTGTTAATGAACAAAAAATTGAAAATATTAAATACATGGAAGAGGGTATGTTATTAATAAATAAATACACACACAAAACCAAAACCGAGAAATTGGAGAAGTATTAAAGCTGTTCAAGGCCGAGATTTTCTAAGATTAAAGATCAAGAGTTGGGAGGATTCAGATTTCTGACAACCCGTTGCATTCCCGCTACACTCTATCACAAAAACTATATACCGTATTTGCTAAAATAATTACCCAGGGTATTTGTTGTTTGAACCTCTCGCTGGAGGGTGGGGTGGGGGGATAATTAGAATGAAGGGGTATACTATTTTTAAGTTGGGTAATTATTTTTCGATCCCTGGCTGTAGGGGATAATTAATAGGGCGGGGATAATTATTTGAGAGAGGGACGTTATTTTAGCATTTACGGTATATTCTAAGGCCACTCCTACAATGACATCCGTGTCAAGCGTTCTGTTTTAATTTTTATTTATTTAAGATTCTAAAATTACAAAAGAGGAGTACAATGAGATAGTAAAAGTAATTGATAAAAAAGACTTTTCTGATTTTAACCGAATAATCAGAGAATCACAAGATTTAAATTTGGAAGACATTTTGAAGTATTTGATGAAAATAAAGAATGGAAAGAATAGTTATCTTTTACAATATTATCAAAATATAGATGATTTTTTAAGATTTAAAAATGAATTAAAATTTAAGATTGCGTTAGACAGAAAACAACAAAAAGAAAAATTAAATGAGGTGGTTAAGGTGGTATTTAATAAAATATTTTTCCAAACGTTATTCTCGAAATATTTAGAATCTAAGATTAAAATTTCTGTAATATTAAATGAACAAAAAATAGCTTTAGCTTTTTCTCTCCTTTAGTTAGTACAAAAGGTTATTCGGCGGCTGGAAGTGAACCAGCATCTTCAGTAGACCGGACTGATGTGTTAGCCATTACACTACGCCGCCTACTGTAAAGCCTTAGGAAATAAAAAGATATATGCTTTACAACAATATTCTGAATCGGCCAATCCTAAATTACTAAATCCCCCCTCCTCTACCAAAATTTTCTGGATAGCCAGATACCCAAATAAATTTAAATTATTAAAATTTAGCATAAGAAAAATACATTAAAATTGGTTGCTACAAAAGTTATTGAACAACAAAAAGAATTAAAAGAATTAGAAGAATTAGAAAAAGCTGAGAATATTGGAATTGTTGTAATTTTATTAAAAATAGAATTTTGTAAAAATATGGAGGAAAAATACAAAAATAAAGAGAAAAAAGTTTTAAAAAAATTTTGTGAAGAAACTTCAATTACAAATAAAGTTAAGGACATAATTAAAACTTTGGACGAGCAAAGAATTGAAGAGGAAAAGAAAGAAAAAGAGAAAAATGATAAGATAAAGAAGGGAAAGAAATATTAATATGAAAATTAAAAAGTCAAATTAAATTTATTTTTTTTTCAAATTCCCTTTAAAGTTTTAACATTTTATTCCGAAGATTACATTTTGATTTCCATATTATCAGTTGAGAAGGAAATTGTTTTTTATGTACATATCCATATCCATATATTGATATCAGGGATTCCACTCTTCTGATTCCAAAAATTTTTTTTGAATTCCCGGCAATTTTTGGGGTTTGGCATGGTTATATACATATTATTATTGGGACAATCCTTGATATAAAAATTGTAAATACCTCAACCATGTATTCATTTTTAATTCTTTCAAGACATTTTAATCTTCTCCGATTTTCATTGTGTAAAATTTAAAAACATTTATTGCATAAATATTTGATTACAAAAGTTGGATTTATAATATACACCCAATATAATAGATACACCCAATCCAAACAATTGTAAACTAAGTTTGTCGGATCCGGATCCGAAAAAAAAGACAGAATATCCGGAAATTTTTAGTTCGGATATCGGATCCGGATATCCGAAGATCTCCATCTATCCGAGAACTTTATTGTAAACAAATACTGAGTTTTGTGTATAAATAAATATATGTATATTAAATATTTAATAATAATTTATCAAAAAATAATGAGAACAATGAGTTGAAATTTTTTGATTAAAATATAAATTAAAAATAAATTTTTAAATTAATTATTAATTGAACTTCAATTTATTTTGAAATATTTCTTGCCTTCTTTATATTCTTCCAAAATATTCTTTTAATTAATTTATTTTTGCATAAGCAATCTAATAAATAATTTAAAAGTTTATTTATTTTCTAATCAACAATTCCTTTAGAAAGTCTTCTTTTATTTTCTTCATTTTCATAATTTTCTATATTTTCTTCATCCCTCAAATATTGTTTTTCATTTGTTGTAAGTACTAAACTAAAAGAATCCTGGGAAGTTGATGGCCTAGGAAATATGGCTCTGGCAACTACACCAGCTGGAGGGCCATTAATCCAATTTAAACGTTTAATTAAATGTATAGGAGCTATTCCATATTGTTGTTGGGAAACTGAAGAATCTGGAAAAAATTTAAAAAATGTTTAGTAGTTGGAAATCATCATTGTGAAATTCCGTAAAACCCTTTGAATAAGCTTATATTTAACAATATCCACCTTAAAACGATATTGACATTTATTTGCAAATATTCTTACTTAAAGGATTGGCTTGAAACCCCCCTCCCCTCGTCTTTAATGAAATTTAATTTATTTTCAATTCTAAAATTATTTTGTATGTTTTATGTGTCCTCTCGATATTTTTTTAAAATTATTTTATTATAAATTTACTTAAAAATACCATAAAACTTTTATTAATTACCCTGGGTATTGTTTCGACCTCACGCTAAAGGAGGTATTTAATAGAAGCGAGGTAATTATTTGAGGGAGGGCAATTAATAATTTATTTTACCCCTTTTTTGTCTTTCTCCATATTTTCCAATATTTTTATATCCATTTCTTGAAGTCATTTGTCTTTGACTAGAATCAACAAAAGCACATAAAGCCCCATTTTTCATTTCTCTTAAAGTACAATTAAATGTTCTAACTAAAGCTTTTTGGTGATTATTTGGAGTTATTGAGGTTGTTGTTGTTGGTGTTGTTGTTAATGTTGTTTTATTATTTTTATTTTCTGAAGGGGAAGAGAATTGATGCCAACTGAAAATAATAGAGATAGGAAATTATTTTACAAAATTTATTTATTAATTGAGAATATCATTGAGAGTATTAATTGAGTATATTTAAATTTGAGAGTATCAGGGATTTCACAAGTTGTGAAAAGAGTCGGGTAGAATGTCAGATCGGAATTTCGAAGAATTATCGGATAGGGTATCGAATAGAGAAATTGTTCAGGTTTCCGATTTCGGTATCTGATATCCTGTGCCATTCCTTGTAAGTATATACATAGATCCCTATAAAATTTAACAATTCTGTTTTATTTATTTCCTAGTTTAAATAAGTTTCTCGAAATTAAGGACATATACAACCCTTTTTAAATTAATATTCCAAAATATGATTTTTTCGGATATCGGTAAGTAAAAAAGTCTTCTAATTTGTTCATTAATCAACATAGAAAAAAGGCCTCATTAACAATACTATACTAATTTAAGAATAAATTGAATGACATCCTAATTACTCTAAAAAGGGATTATTTAAACAATATCGGAATTAAGTTTAAACAAAAACAAACATTTTTCTCTTCTTCTGCCCAATTGTATAATTTTCTTTATTATTTTTTAATAAAGAATTATTTATATTTTTATTATTAATATTTCCATTATTAATTAATAATCTGTCATCTATCTGTATTGAACGTGTTCTATTTCCACTTAATGCAAGTACTAATTTCCATCTAACAATTTTCCATTGTTCAGCATTTAAACATCCATTAATTTGTGCATATTGATAACCTATTTGTCTACAAAAATCCCTCCATTCAATAATATCGTTCTCTTCGGAATTTGGACGGGCAAGTGGAATAAGTACTGATTCTTAATTAATTAATATTTTTATTAAATACCATATTGTCTCCAAAAGAAGCCCAGGGCTTCTATTTTTCAATACCCCTCACTGAGTGGGATTCTATTAGAGCATGGGCTTCTATTGGAGCCGGGCTTCTATTATAGACAATACGGTAGTTAGGTATATGGCCTTCCACTCTTTATGCTTAATGTTAAAAAGAGGGGGTAAAGTCGCGTTTTTCTAGAACTTTATACCGTCGTTTTAGCACATTCACCTCCTATAATTTCATTAACTAACAAGGACTTTAAATCTATTTAAAAATAAAAATCAGTCCTCCCTTTTTTGGCAAGTTTACAAAAAAAATTAATTACCAATAATATTTCCAAGTAAATTAGTATGTTGAAGTAATTCTGTATTATTTAGGAATAATTGAGGAGTAATTGGTCGATTTTGAATTTTATCGATACCTAAAGCATCTCCAATTGAAGAACAAGTATTGCAAAGCTATTAATTTAAAATTTAATTTTCCTATATACTATTTGTTTATAGAAAATTAATAATAAAGAGAGATTTTTGAAAAGCCTGGGCCTGTTCCTGGGTTCCGTGTTTGATTTATTGACCTGGGCAGGGTTCTGGGCTTGTAGTCCAGGAAAAACCCAGGCCCAGGAAAAACCCAGGAATGTCAAAAAATGCCTGGGCCTGGACTCTGGGTACAGGAAAAACCCAGGCCTTGGTCCAGGCCCAGCTCGCTCTCTAATTAATAATTATTTTTTATATCTTTATTTTTCTAATTTACCCAATTAATTATAATCATTTAATCTTTAATTTTCTTTTTTCTTTTCTTACCGAAGAAAGTATATCGGCACATATTTCATTCTTTAATTCTCTAAATTTATTTAATGCTTGTTCAGCTGAAGTAGAATCTATTGGTGCTGATCCTCTTAACCAATCGGCTCTAGAAGAAGCCGAAAGTGTTAAACTTGTTGCAAAACGTTTTACTTTTTTCTTTAAAAAATAATTTTTATTTTTTTAATTTTCAATTTCCCTCCTCACTTCTTTACATTCTGGCCATTTATAAAATATTAACCAATTTGTAGCTGAATGTATAGCCAACAACATATTCGAGAAATCAGTTAAATATAAACTACTTATATACTTTAAATTTTTAAAAATTAATTTAAAAATTAAAAGTTAATTAACTTGTTCCATTTCTAATTCTGTTTGTTGACTACTTGTTTTACCTCCATAACCCATTACTTCCATTAATATTGTATTAAATAAATATAGAGCTAGAAATAAATTATTTTATTTTTATTTTCACCTAATACTTTTTAAAAAATAATATTTTAGTTTCCAAAAATATTTTTGAAATTGGGGGGGAAACGAAAAGAAAGGAGGACGAGGGACAAAAACAATATACCTAATATAATGTCCAAACCAGACCTGGTCATGGATACGGATATAAATACAGATAATATCAACATGCCTGCATATATCCGCCGTAAATATCCTGCTACGGATACCAAAATCAATATCCGAGAGCAAGTCTGGTCCAAAATTCTCAATTTTGGATTTACTTAAACCCAAATTTAAATAAGATTATGCTCAAGGCGAAAAGAAAATTTTCAAAATTTAATTCCAAAAATTAAAACTTACTATTACAAATAATGAATTTAATTGACAGAAACTAAAAATAAATAATTAATTAATTATGTTTAATTTTAAATTAATTATTTACCGTCAACATTAAATGAACATTTCTTCCCAAAGCTCTCTGTCTTTGAGGAATTATTTGTTGGTGTCCAACAGTTCTTTGGGCACTAGCTATTTGTAATGTTCTAACAGTTAATATAGCTATAATAACTATTGGTGTTGGTGCTCGAAATATTAAATCCGGAATTAAATGAGATAATATGGCATAATACTGATTGTTTACCTTGAAATTTTAGGTGAAAATAATTTTTGGAAATTTTTATTTATTTTTAAAAAAGGTAAATAAATGGATGCTAAATGGAGGCATAATTTAAAATTTTAATTTAATTTCTAAAAATTTATTCCCATACCAATTCTCGTTGTACAATCATTGTTCTAACTTCAAATCCATTAGAACGAAATTCATAACTAAATTTTAAAAATATTTATTTATTTACAAAAATCTTTTCTTTTCCAACCAATCTATTAAAGCCCTTTCAAAAGGAACAGCCAGAAAATTCAAAGCAAAAGCCCCAAAAACAATACAAGAAAATATTGAACGTAAAGAGAATTGTCCTTTTCGAGTACGCTGTTCTAATGGACGGGAAACAGCTTTGTGTCTTTCGATTGTAATTGCTAATACTTGCCAAATCTTTAAATTAAATTTAAATTAAAATAATTTAATTTAAAAATTCTCATACAGTTCCAGTAACACAAAAACTGGCAAATGGTTGGAATAAATAAAGTAAATAAGCAGTTACTCCAACAAAAGGTAAAATACCTAGGCACATACAAATAATACCTTTAAAAATATTTTTAAGAACAATTTTTTGTAAATTAAAAACCCAACCATAAGAGCAAAGGCAACAACATAAAAGGGCAATATCCCAAATACATAAAGCTGTTAAATGTTTGGCTAGACGGCGAGAAAAGTGATTGGATTTGTTATGTAACTGATAAAAAAATAAAATTAATTAAATGAAGAAAATTTGGAGGAGGAAAAGGGAGGAGGATGAGATAAATACTTCAAATAATTCAATATTATCATAAAATTTATTTTTTTAATAGGCTAAAAACCTCCAATTTGCCGAAATCTAAACAATGGGGTCGGATGATAAAATATTTATAGACTTTTTTGAGTGTCGATCCCCAACTTAATAATTTTCTCGACTAAAAACTACTCGAAACTTCCCCATATTCATCCCTACAAATTAGTAAAAAGTTCTAAACTGAGCCCCTTTTCGGGGGATTTTTTAACTGTTTTTCTCTCTAAATTTTCACTTATCACACTTATTTATAGATAGAAGTCTTTTAATTAATTTTTAAATTTACTTGATAAACAAATAAAGCATTTCCAATAAGCCCAAAACTAACTAATAAACAAGTAATTAATCCATTAACTACAAATGAGAATCTTTCATATCTGAAAAAATATTTCTTTATTAAACACATATACATATTTAACATATTTTCATAACTTTAAAGTACTTAATTTTATGTACTTATTTTTTTATATTTTTTTTAATTTTATGTACTTAATTATTTTTTGTATTAGGGAGTAATTAGAATACTTACGCTTCCAATTCTGCAAGCATTTTCTTAGCTTGAGGGTCATCATCCCCAAGACTTCGATAAAATAAAAGTAAATCAAAACACCAAGCTATAAATAATTAATTTAATTACAATTTATCAATACATAATCTCCAAAAAACCTTCAACTGGAGGTTCTTCCATAAAAATAGAATTTGTTGTTAAATTATTTTCATTACTTATATTTACAGAAGGGTTGTTATTGTTGTTAGAAGTAAATAATTTTAAAGGGGTAATTGTTGTTGTTGTTGAAGTACCGATAATAGTAAAAGGACTTTCGTCCATTTTTAAGAAAAAATAAAGGGGGAATATTTAAATCTAGTAAATTATTTTTCAATATAAATTAGAAAAACTTAAAATAATTATTTTGCTTTTAATTTTTTTTCAAAAATTATTTTTAGAAACATTTACCTAAATTTTTTTCAAAATCAAATTTGCAAAATATAAATATTTTTTTTTAATTTAAATAAATTTTTTTATTTATTTAAATTTAAAAATAATTTTAAAAAATTTATTTATTTGTTTGATGCCTCAGCCTCTCTCTAATTTTATCTATTTTATTTTATTTTCATCTCTTTAAATTCCCACAATCTTTGTTCATTTAAAAAAATAAATAAAAAATATATGAATTAAATAATTAAAAAATTTTTTGAGGAAATTATTGAAGAATTTTAATAAATAAAAATTTTCTTAGAAAATGGAAGGGAAGTAATTCAAAATTGAATTGAAAGCAAAATAATAAGAAAAAATAAATATTTATTTATTTAATTATTTTTTAAATTAATAAAAATATTATAAAAAAAATATTTTATAAGAAAAAATTTTTGGTTAAGAATCTGGTTAAAAAAATATAAATTCAAATAAATTTTATATATTTAAATTAAAATATTTTTAAATTAATTATTCAATTTATTTTTAAAAATTATATATCAATAAAAATAATTAATCGTTTTTGGATGTTTAATATAAAAATTATTTGTTAAAAAATAATTCAAATTAAATACCAATTGTTTTATATATTTTGCGGGAAAGAACAAAAAATTTCTACAAAATTAATGAATAGAAATAATTTTTAACAGAACTAAAAATAAATTTTATAGTGAAATAGCAGACTTTTTTTTATTAAAAAAAGATTTTTTAAGAACTAAAAAAAATTATTTTAAATAAATTTATAAGGCAACTAATTCTTATTAGTAAATTAAAATATATTTTATTTTTTTTTAATAATTATTTTTTAATTTATTTAAATAAAATATTTAAAAATAAAAGAATTTCGAAAAAAAATAAATATTTTTAAATTTAATAAAATATTTAAAAGAATTTTTAAATAAAAAAAATTTAAAAAACAATTATTAATTGAGGAATTTTTGTTGGAATTTAACAAAAAAAAATAAAAAAAATAATTGTTGATTTTTAAAATTTAGAGAGAAAGAATAATTGTAAAAATAGCTAAATTAAATTTAAAAATATATTTTTGGAGTTTAAAGAATATTTTTTTGATTATTGAGCTTTTAATTAATTATTAAATAGTAAATGCTTCCTTTTTTAAACAAACATTTTGGGTAAAAAAATTTAAAAATTAATTAATTAATTGTCCTTTTAAAAATTATTTGGAGGGGTTTTTAGTGGAAATTTTGTTTTTTTAAAAATAAAATGAGAAAATAATTTTTTTTGGAAAAAAGAGAAGAGGGGAGAGAGGAGAAGAGATTAGCTAAAAATAAATAAAAAAGAGAAGAAAAGGAAGGTGGGAAAAACATTTTTTGGGGGAACGTCGATGAAATTTTTAGAGAATTTCCGGTAGTTTTCAACAAAAAAATAAAAAGAGGGGACCTTCTGCCAAGTTTTTAAAGCTTTAGGGGAAAAAGAGAAGAGAGAAAAGGGCAAATTTGTGACAAAATTTTAGGTAATTATTTTTTGTTTTGTCAATAATTTACTAGCTTTTTTTCTTTTATTTCGTCACTAGTCTGGTTAAAATAAAAAGTTTTTTTTAAAAAAAATTTAAATTAACAAGAAAATTATTTTTATTTAAAAAAAAGAAAAGAAGCTAAAATAAAAATAAGAGGAATTAGAGGTTGGCGCGGGACGGGGTCGGCGCCTTCTGCCAAGAGGTCGGCGCGGGATTTTCCGGGATCCCGATCCCAAGATCCAGGGTTTTTTTGATTTTTGGGATCTTTTAGGATCCGGGATTTTTGGGATTATCCCTCAGGATCCAGTCCCGCCATTGGTTAAGAAAAAAAAATCACCCGACTCGGGATCCCGGCAGTGTGATTTTACCTCTAAAAGAATTATTGATATTTCTTTAAAATATCAGAAAAAAATGTTTAAAATGACATTAAAATTTTTTTTTAATTTTTTATTAAAATATATTTAAATGTTTCTTTCTATAAATTAAAGAGAGAGAGAGAGAGAAATTATAAAAAAATATTAATTTTAAAATAAATATTAATTTTAGATTGGAAAAAAGTTTTTTTACTTGGAAGAGAAAAAGAAAAAAATTCTTTTTGGAAAAACCAATTTTTGGGTATAAATCACGCGGATAAAAAATTTTTGTTTGGTTATTGAGTTTTTTCTTTCATTATTCAATCTTTTATCTTTTTCAAAAAAAGTAAAATGAATGAATGAAGTATTTAGAAAAAGAAGAAAAGAATAATTAAATTAGCATAAAAAGGTAAGGGTTGGAGGGATGTTTGGGCGCTTAAGTTGGGCTTCGATTTATTTATTGACTGTTGATAAGCAAAATATACAAGTAAAATATTCGAATATTTTTGATAATTTTACCTAATTTTTTATAAATTACAAAAATTATTATTTAAGCGCGAGACAACCAAATCCAACAAATCCAAAAAAATCCAACAAAACACGCAAACGCAGAAAACTCAGAAATAGAAATTTTTTATTAATTGCCTCCCTCCATCGAGAATCAATGAATTATAATGCAAAAAGCATATTTCTCAAAAATTCTCAACTACCCAAATCATTTATTAATATGTGGTACGAGATAGAGAACGGACTGGGAGTGTCGTACGAGAAGCGAGATCTCGATAACTGAGATTTTCGGACGAGATCTCGTCTCAGTCCGTTATCTAATATGAGAGAATAGGAGCAAAATTAGCTTATACTTTCTCATACTAACAATAAAAGTATTAATAGAAAATTTCTTTGACATCAAAAATTCACAAATTCATATCTCATCGAATTTAAACAAGAAAATTTTCAGAATATATTTGCGCCCAAACATTCAATTTTCTTTTAGCAATATGAAGAGTCTTCCCTTTTTTTAATAAAACAAAAATTTTAGCAGCTGCTAAATGATTTATTTAAATTTTTATCCCAAAGAATCCTTTCTCTCCCTCTCTCTCAAAAAATCTAAATTAAATAAATAAATATATATTTAATATAAGAGACACGTTTTCTGGCTGGCATAAAGAATAATTTATTTTAAATTTTTGTAGACAGATTAAAAATTAAATATTCGAGGAAATAAATTAATTTAAAGAAAAGTTTTTTAAAAAAATCTTATAATTTTTTTTCTTTTAAAAAACAAAAAAATATTTAACAATTTTAAAGAATATTTGTTGTTTTTAATTAATTTTTTAAATAAATATTTAAATAAAAATAAATTGCTTAAGGCTATAAATTGAATAAATATTTAGATATATGTAGATATAATAATTAATTTTAAAAATATTTTTTTTATTTTATTCTCAAAATTTTAACAATAAAAATATATTTCTAAAATATTTTTGTAACAAAGTAAAAATAAAATTTTGTTTTGAAAAAAATATTTAAATAAAATTTAAATTTATAGTTTTTTTAAATTTATTATTGCGTGTTTAAAATTGTAAAAAATAGTTTATTTTATTTTTAGGTAAATTAAAAAAAATTTTCTAAATAAATTTTTGTTGCCTTTAATAATTTTTAAATTAAATAATATTTTTGCAGAAAATTTATTTTAAAAATGAGGCATTAAAAATTAAATTTAAAACGCGATATTTTATATGTTTGAGAATCAAAAAAATAAAAATAATTTTATATAGAAATTATATTTAATTTCAAAAAATTTTTTTTAAATTTATTTAAATTTAAAATAAAAAATTATTCAAAAATTAAAAGAAAATTAATTAAATAAAATATATTCAATTTTTAAAAGATATATTTTACCGTAAATTCTCTAATAGAAGCACATGTGCTTTTATTTTTCGATTCTCCCGTGGGGTATGCTTATATTAGAGGGTGTGCTTCTATTAGAGAATTTACGGTATATCCAATTCTTAATTTTAAAAATATTGTCCATTCTTTAAAGTTAACTTTACTTAATTATTTTTATATTTTTTATAATTAAAATAAAATATTTAATTAAAAAATTTATTAATAGCCAAAATGCCCTCTATTATTTCTTTTTCCTTTTTAAAAAAATTAAAACAAATGAGTGATGTGAGAAAATTAGAAATTTAAGTAGTTAAAAGAGGGAATAAATGGAGAGGGCAATAAAAAAACAAAAAAAAGTCATTTTGCACTTTTGCCTATTTCGCGTGTGTTTTCCGACACTTTTATGTTTTTATTTTATAATATTTCCGGTAAAGGAACATTTAAAAAAATACAGTAAAATATATAGAAGCAATTAATTAAAGAATATTTTTTTGAAATAAAAACACAAAATAATTACTTTAAAAAAAGATTAAAACAAATAAATAATGTGGACAAGTCCCCGGAAAATAAAATTTTAACTTCACGGTTCTCGGGTAATTTATCCCAGACTGGTACATGGATACAGATTTTGCTATCCGTATCCGTCCGTATTCGGATATATCCGCGGGTATCCGTCCGTATCCATCATATCCGGTGATGGATGTCGTCCTCAATTGTCGTCCTCAAATGTCGTCCTCATTTGTCATATCCTCAAGTGCGTATCCTCAATTGTCGTACCGCCCCATGCGCCAGTCTGATTTATCCTTTTTAATGGTTCATGGAATAGGGACAAACACATGTAATTTTGTAGGTGTAATTATAAAAAATATTTAGTCAAAGAATAAAATAACGGAATTAAATAATTAAAAAGTAAATGTTTTTTTTGAGTTTAAAGATTGAAAAAAATATTAAAAGCTTTTAAAGTATTTAATTATTCGAGGCAATTAGTATTCAAATTTTATTGAGAAAATGTAAATTTATTTTGATAAAGAATTAAGGGTCTTAAAATATAAAACAAAATATCTTATTTATTCTAATAGAATGGCTGCCATTTTATTTTTCAATACCCCTAAAAAAGGACCATTATATGGGAGATG